AGACAGAACATATTTGTAGCCTTAAAATATTAATAATTTGATTTTGAATGTCAATCGTTGGACTAGGCAACAGTTTTTACCGATTTTGTATCTTGCAACGAATGGCAAGCAAACAAATTGGGCATGACCGTCTCCTCTCGATTAATTGTCCTGCCTTAGGTCCTAACCTATCATTAACCAACCTATCGTTTCTACGGGAATCTATCCTAATTTTTTACTGAAATTTAACAATTTCGAAACAAAAATGATTTGTTATCGTCATAGCCTACTGAATACTGAACACGATATAATGTTACATGCGTTCTCTTATCGGGATTAAAAGTGACTTACCATTTCAGTACACCATTAGAAAGCTTTTTTTGTTATATCAAATGTAGTTTTTACTGATGTTTAACAACTGAGAAATCAAACATAACGTTACGACGTCAACATCGACGATGTTTGTGTGTTTTTGTTATTGCGTTTCATATGAATGAAGAATGAACTTAATGCAATGTTACGTGCGTTTTTTTCCAAAGTGACTAACCAGGATGAAATTGGTCTTCTAACAACTGAAACATCACTTAAAAATATGACATTATACACCACGACGATGTAACGTTTTCATCGTGATTTGAAATGATAATTATACGTTTTTAAATCACGACCTAGTAAAGGTACTATGGTCATTGGATTCCCAGTTTTAGTTTTACTTCTAATTTTGCATTTTTTCATCTTTATGTAAAAGACCGTCAGCCGACCACCGACCACATGTACCCAACTATGGAGAGTGACTGGTATGTGGTCGGTGGTCGGCGGTCGGTGTTTTACGAAAACCCAGAATCTAGCATTCTCAAAACACAAGTACTACAACTGACTTTAAAAAATATCCAGCAAATCTTGATTAATGATCAAAGTTCAACCCTTGTCAATGACTCAATGCTATAAATATTACACACAATGTGACAAGGTCAAGTCAAGTGTCAGACTGCATGTTGTGTTTTATACTATAGCTGAGACAGGCAAAAATTTGAAGACTGTAGAGATAACAAAGTGGTAGACTGATTTAGTTAAGATTGAGTAACTACATTGAATGATCTATGAATCGACCATTATATCACGGTGTTATAGCATGACGGTTACGTCAAGGCGATTTGCAAAATTTTGCGGTAACGATAACAAAAATGGCGGATGGGAAAGGCAGCATGTCCTCTTTCTCGCCTGTAGGCAAGATTCACAGATAAGATTTTCTTTTCAACTAGTTCCATTCAGTGACATATATGTATATATGGATGGTTATAAAGACTGGGTCAAATTTGCCAGGTGGTCTACAAGAAGCAGAATATAAGCTGTTAAACTACTGACTGAGATATCCAAGTTCATAATTTTTATATAGAAAATCTTGATATTTATAAGGTATTACTCATTTATTTAGGAGTCCAGATTAATGTGTCAAGCCTGGGCTACTATATAATATAATAATAAATACATTCATTATGAATGGTACTCTAATTCTCTAATTCGCTAATTCTGTGCATGTGTTAAGCTAGTATAATATGAAATCCCAATTTTTATCAAATGGGGTCGTGAATTGCCACAATATAGCATCTTGGATATTGTCAATGACAACGGAATCTGAATTTGAAATAATTTACATAGATAACGGCTCATGGTAAGATGTGACAGCGGACTATGGTGGATGTATTGCATTGGAACATAGGAAAATGACAACAGAGCGAGGATTATGTCCGCCATTTGTGACAACGGTATCTGACTTTATCGTTGTCAGGCTATTCCGGAATGATCCTTAAATTTTGAACATTTGAAATACAAGATATATGTACACTATAAATAAACATAAATTGTTCTTTTTTGTCAAAGGAACATAAACTCTTGTTTATCTACTTTTGACATTGTCGCAGCCTACAAACAAATCAATTGCAAAGAAAGACAACAAGATAATTAATCCTACTTGATTATCATTACAGACATAATGATGTGGTTATTCAGCAGGAAGACACCCAAAGTCAAACATGATGAACTTGAGATACGCCTGTTTGACCCAAAAAAGGACAATTGGAAAGAAGTAAAAAATATGGCTTTTATTCCATTCACAGAGACGATTCCAAATGTTATGAGAGACATGTTATTTCATCCGATACTTAGCTGTGTATTAGCGATATTAGCTGGGGTATTATACAAAGTGAAAGGACCCTTGTGGAACCCCTTCATTTTCTTGGTGGGGATATACCCTACATTGTATCTTTTCTTAGCCTGGAGGTTCCCTCAATTATTGGAGATTTCAAAACAGGTGGATTATGACAAGTTTGTAGAATATTGGACTGATCCTGCCCATCCTTTATGGCTGCTCTTCCACAAAGGAAAACCCAGAACAACGGCAACGCCAAAGCGTAGTGAATCCCATCGAACAGCCATGGATGGCATTTTTACAAACAAAGTATATGGCAAAAATGGCAGGCATTTTTCAAAATGGCCGCCTTCTACCAAAAGTGTCATTAGACCATTTGCCATACTTATAGTATTCACATACCAAATATGAACAAAATCGCTCCACTACTTTTCGAGTTATAGTAAAATACGTTAAAATGGCGGCCATTTTTCAAAATGGCCACCTTCTACCAAAAGTGTCATTAGACAGTGTGCCATACTTACGGTATTCACATACCAAATATGAACAAAATCGCTTCACTACTTTTCGAATTATTATAAAATACATTAAAATGGCGGCCATTTTTCAACATTTTTTTCAAAATGGCCACCTTCTACTAAAAGTGTCATAGGATAGTGTGTCATGCTTTAGTATTCACATACCAAATGTGAACAAAATCGCTCCACTACCTTTCGAGATATAGTAAAATACATTAAAATGGCGGCCATTTTGAAAAATGGCCGCCTTCTACCAAAAGTGTCATTAGACAGTGTGCCATCCTTATAGTATTCACATACCAAATATGAACAAAATCGCTCCACTACTTTTCGAGTTATAGTAAAATAGGTTAAAATGGCGGCCATTTTTTAAAATAAATGGCCACCTTCTACCAAAAGTGTCTTTAGACAGTGTGCAATGTCTATAGTATTCAGCTATTAAAGAAGCACATGGCAGCCATCTTGAAAAATGGCGGCCTTTACTCGTTATTTTACAATTTTTGCTGTAACTCGAAAAGTAGTGGAGCGATTTTGTTCATATTTGGTATATGAATACTATACACATTGCACACTGTCTAAAGACACTTTTGGTAGAAGGTGGCCATTTAAAAAATGGCCACCATTTTGAAAAATGGCCGCCATTTTAACCTATTTTACTATAACTCGAAAAGTAGTGAAGCGATTTTGTTCATATTTGGTATGTGAATACTATAAGGATAGCAGACTGTCTAATGACACTTTTGGTAGAAGGCGGCCATTTTTCAAAATGGCCGCCATTTTAACATATTTACTATAACTCGAAACATAGTGGAGCGATTTTGTTCATATTTGGTATGTGAATACTAAAAGCATGACACACTATTCTATGACACTTTTGGGAGAAGGTGGCCATTTTGAAAAATGGCCGCCATTTTAATGTATTTAACAATAATTCGAAAAGTAGTGAAGCGATTTTGTTCATATTTGGTATGTGAATACTGTAAGCATGGCACACTGTCTAATGACACTTTTGGTAGAAGGCGGCCATTTTTGCTATATACTTTGTTTGTAAAAATGCCATCCATGGCTGTTCGATGGGATTCGCTACGCTTTGGCGTTGCCGTTGTTCTGGTTAATGTCCTATATAATTTTTTTACATCTAAAACATATTGCTATTACAGTTTTACATATTGCACCTAAATTACTGTAAATTCGGCACTAAAATGGCCGCCATTTTGAAATGAGCGGCCATTTTGAAAATCGGCTTTCGAGCAGAACTTCTACCGCCATAGGGTATATGTGTACAAAATATGAACAAAATCGGGCCAACGGTATTTGAGTTATTGCCCGGACGGACGGACGTACACGTACGTTCGTACGTACGGACGGACGGAGGCGTTCCCTATATCCCTCCGAACTTCGTTCGATGGGATAATAAAGTATATGAGGCTCCACAAGAGGACAAACATAAGGTCCAAGTCTAGACCAATAGGGTATACAAACAAAAGTAATTTGGCTCTCCTGAAATTAATGTCCTGGCTTGTGCGTATATGCCCCTGTCTGATATATTTCCTTAGTATGACATTCGACAAAATATAGAGGTTAGGTACACGTTTCTAAGAGAACCTGTAGAATTTGTAATATTTCGACCCCTGAGATTACCATCCCTTTCTCCATTCACTTTTCCAGTATTTTCCATATACCTTTATAGTAATCAATCAGCCAAATAAACAACTTATAAATGGGAGAACTATTCCACAGAGGACCATCATTCTACATGTTCACTTACAAGTTTTAAAAAACATTTATCTTAACCTTTCTATTAATTAAATAAAACAATTACAAGTAAATCTGGTATAGAGGTTATGTCACTATTACGTGAAATACGCCTGAGTTTTCCAAATACATGTATAGGCCAACCTTTAGCCTTGCCCAAATCGGTCTCTTTATTTTCTTTATTTTTACGTATTTTGATTTCTATTATGACAGTAATTCAAGATCAGATAAGTAAAAAATACCGACTTGGGCAAGGCTAGCCAACCTTGGGAGGTTCTATATTTGGGCAAGAACGAAGGCATATTTCACGTCATAGCGACATAACTGATGTATTACATACCTTTATTCCCATGGCTACTCTGTATCAATGATGTCACACAACTGTATGTGAGTAAAATTTGATGGAAATGACACATGACGTTTTTTTTGTTTATTATTAAAGAAAGTGGGCTATATCAGTGTAATAGGGCAATATCAGTGGATAAAGCCCTTTCACCTTCCCACTGACTTCCAATAAAATACTTCACTAGGTATGTAATACATATATATAAGTACATGAACATTACAGAAAATATAAGTACATATGAAAAGGAACCTACCTTTTGAACCACTGTTCAACATTGCCGTCTGAGATCTGATGTGTCGATGAAGAAACATTAACGATACGACTTGGCCAATCTCTTTCTCCCGATGCAACCAAAACATCCAATAGCAACAGAGATAATACAAAATGGCCAAGAAAGTTAATAGATAGATGGCTCTCAAGTCCCATACTATTCACACCATAGGGGGCAAGCATAATTCCAGCTGCAATCATAAGATAGATGCATTACATTAAAATGGGCCTATTTTGAATCTACAACAGTATCAATAAAGAAAATGCATATTATGTTAAAGTGGGTCTTTAATTTCTGAATCTATAAAGGCATTTAATAACATGGAATATATCACCACCTGTCATTTGTTACAAATGTCAACTGCCAAACATCAACTGCCGAACACTGTCCATGCACAAAAAGTTGGAGACTATACAAAAATATGTCAGCACTTGTGGTAGTGACATGATAACAAAAAGGGCAACTTATCCAAAATTTAAATAAAATAGAAATTAAGAGAAAGACGATTCATAATCTTTATCATTGGCAGTTTTTTTTACAACAGATCAAACTCATTTGATAATAGAAAGTTTGTGTTTTGCACCATCAATACTTAATTTGCACCATTAATACTTAATTTGCACAATTAATACTTAATTTGCACTATTAAAACTTAATTTGCACCATCAATACTTAATCTGCACCATCAATACTTAATTTGCACCATAAATACTTAATTTAATTACCATCAATACTTAATTTGCACAATTAATACTTAATTTGCACCATCAATACTTAATTTGCACAATTCAATTAATACTTAATTTGCACCATTAATACTTAATTTGCAACTGAACGTTTTCAAGTAGGGCTTATGAAATGTTTTATTCTCAGCCTACCTTAAACCTATCCATTCATTTGCTCAAAATGCTTTTAATTTATACTCAAAATTATTGGAGGGAGAGCTAGAGTCAAACTGATATGGAATACAATATGTAATGTTTTTGGAGAACAATGGCATTTTTTCTTATTAATCAATACATTTCATTTACATAACTCAAAAGTATAATCATATTGACATTCAGTTTAACTAGGATATTGCTCAGTACCAGCTATGATAATTCAATAATGTACTTATGTAACCATGGCAATTGTGAAATCATCATATGATAGTTTGAATGAAAGCAATCCTATAGTTCCATGTAAGAATGAAAACTAGATACAGCAACTCCACAGAGTAGAAAATCCCAACGAACACTATATACAAACATTAATCTGTACAGTCACAATGTAATATTTACATCTACTCTTCCCTTCAATAAATCCTTGAGATCATTGCAGTATCCAACCATACTTTAAAGATATCTGAGTTATGGCGAATTCCTGTTTTAGGCAGCCATTTTGGATTTTCTGAGGCACAAATCAGAAATACAATACCTTAATTGAGATCTTCTCTAAAATTCCTTCAATTTGAGTATAATACAGCCAAACTTCTAAGAGATCAGAAGATTATTGCGAAATTCCACGTTAAAGGGGCAATAAGGCTTGTAGAGAGAAAATAGGAAAATTTGAACTTTTTCTGAGCTATCAAGGCAACAGTTGGCTTAACATCTTCTTCGACATACCTATTTTATGAATCCACCCTTAATTGCCTTTCAATTGAGTATAATAAAGCTATACTTCAAAAATATCTCAAAATTAATTTTCTGAGCTATCAAGGCAACAGTTGGCTTAACATCTTCTTCGACATACCTATTTTATGAATCCACCCTTAATTGCCTTTCAATTGAGTATAATAAAGCTATACTTCAAAAATATCTCAAAATTAATTTTCTGAGCTATCAAGGCAACAGTTGGCTTAACATCTTCTTCGACATACCTATTTTATGAATCCACCCTTAATTGCCTTTCAATTGAGTATAATAAAGCTATACTTCAAAAATATCTCAAAATTAATTTTCTGAGCTATCAAGGCAACAGTTGGCTTAACATCTTCTTCGACATACCTATTCAATGAATCCACCCTTAATTGCCTTTCAATTGAGTATAATAAAGCTATACTTCAAAAATATCTCAAAATTAATCCAAATTTCTGTTTTCCCAACAGGCCCCTGGGGGTCAGGGTGAAAAACACAGAATTTATGTGAAATAAATCTGTCGGATGGATGGAAGGCTTCTCTATATCCCTCCAGAACTTTGTTTGTTGGGATAACAAACCAATAGGTGACATGACCAGTGTTCTCCCAAGGATTTTCTCTCAAATGGGTGATGAATTCCTATATTGACAATTTAGACCAAATCTGATCAAAATACAGTGAAACCTGTAAAGTGGAACACCTCTAGAAGTGGAACACTTTGTCAGTAAACCTGTCAACGTTTGGTACCTCTCATATAGAGTTTCATTTAACATTAAGACAGTTGGTCTTGGAACTCTGATTTTTCTAATGTTCATGTGGGTGAATATTGATTCTCATGTGGTGCAAGGCTATTATTAAAATCTCAAGTGGGTGCAAAGCCCTCCTGCTTAATAGTACTAATTTACCATTACTCGTCTGAAGACTTCAGACTTGTCAACCTTACAAACTCTTCAGGTATTATACACCCATTAAGGCTCTATTTATGTACATGTATACCTACCATTATTGATAAGAAGATGTAGACGGAGACCCCTTGATTTGAAATCTTTCACAAAATCGGCAATCTGCAATGGTTCAGCGAGATCGACAGCAACATGCTCTACTGAAACAATGCAGAAAAATCAAATACATTACAATTTTTGACTCAATAATGCAATGCAATAACATCAAATACATGGTTCAATAATGCAATGCAATAACATCAAATACACTGCAATGTATGGTTCAATAATGCAATGCAATAACATCAAATACATTACAATGTATGGTTCAATAATGTAATGCAATAACATCAAATACATTACAATGTATGGTTCAATAATGCAATGCAATAACATCAAATACATTACAATGTATGGTTCAATAATGCAATGCAATAACATCAAATATGCTACAAGATATGGTTCAATAATGCAATGCAATAACATCAAATACACTACAATGTATGGTTCGCTAATCTAATGCATCAACATCAAATACACTACAATGTATGGTTCAATAATGCAATGCAATAACATCAAATACACTACAATGTATGGTTCAATGATGCAATGCAATAACATCAAATACACTACAATGTATGGTTCAATAATGCAATGCAATAACATCAAATACACTACAATGTATGGTTCAATAATGCAATGCAATAACATCAAATACACTACAATATATGGTTCAATAATGCAATCCAATAACATCAAATACACTACAATGTATGGTTCAATAATGCAATGCAATAACATCATATACACTAAAATGTATGGTTTGATAATGCAATGCAATAACATCAAATACACTACAATGTATGGTTTAATAATGCAATGGAATAACATCAAATACACTACAATGTATGGTTAAAGTTCCATGACAGTAAATTGCAATTACTTGTTTTCAAAAATCTTAATGGCAATCTCAACTGATATTAGATAGCTTAAGGTGCCATGGAAGTTAATAGGAAATGACAAAACAAAAAGTGACAAAACCATGCTGGATTTTGATAAAAATTTTGAACCAAGGCAACTTTTAAAAAAGTTCATATTATTCTTAGAAAAAGAAAAAAAAGAAAAAAAATCTGAAATGAAAATCGATTTACTTTTTTTAATTTTTTTTACTACAGCCATTATATTATTGTTTGGACACCTTTTAAAAATTTCAAAGATTGTTTCATTTAGAGCAATATATTGGACACATTATCTGAAAAAATCCAAAGATTCTTTCAAAATCAAGCATGGTTTTGTCACTTTTTGTTTTGTCATTTCCTGTTATCTTCCATCGCACCTTAACATCCTCAATGTTTTCGATACATTAGCAAAAGTGTAAATTGTTGATATGAAACATCAGTTTCTTAAAAATCAGCTAGTAAACACCTGAGAAAATGCAACTAATACGACAATGCCTGTAGCTGCTATGGGTGAACAAGAAATAAAATGGCATATACAAGCAAGCTAGTTTTTAAGTTGTATTTCTTAACACACAAAACAACTCACTGACTTGAAATTATAGTATTTAGAAACAGATTTTAATTCAGAATATCATTTTGTTGGAAATATAATTATCTTTCTTTCAGTATTGATATACACATATAGTATACTATACTTAACTATAATTTCATACTTTTACCCCACCCTGTATATATTTGTTAAATTCAGACTCAGAGAGTAGTTATTTCTACTAGGCTCTGTTTTTCAGAGTAGGTAATTCTCTATATGCTTCAATAAAAAGGAATTCATGACATTCATTAAACTGTATAAAACCATAGACTTTGTATAAAATGAAAAAACAGAATTTTATACCTATCAGTTGAAGGTTGACTGCACACTAAACCAAAGTGCCCAGGAAACATTTCATCATTAATGTCTACAAGTGTCTCAAAAATGATTAAAAGTACCCTGAATTGTTTGTGTGAATATTCTTCCATAATGTCGAAAAAGATGGTTGTCAATTACATCATAAGAAACATTTGAATATGATTTTACTACAGTGCATTTATGGGCCTCAGTTTCAAAATATCGCAGTCTAATCAAATATTGGATTGAAAACAACTGAGATGTTATTTAAAAGGGAGCACCATCCACAACTTTATCCTATGCCAAGTAGAGTTTTAGGGAGATAAGTTGGTAAGATATATCCTGTATCCTGATTTTGAGGTTTCCATATCCTGGACCTCCATATCTCCCGCCATATCTCCAGCTCCGGGGCATATCTTCCCGCTTAGAAAAAAAAGTTTGAAAAAAATAAGAAAAAATTGAAAAAAAGAAAAAATGTGAACAAATTGAAAAAAGAAAATAAAAATAGAAAAAATTGAAAAAAATTAGAAAAATGTGAAAAAATAAAAAAATAAATTGAAAGAAAATAAGAAAACCCTACTTGGTATAGGATACAGCAGTTATGTACGGTCGGTTTGGATATTGAGTTCATCCCTCGTGAGATATACACATCTACCTTCGGTCCCTACGGTCCCTCAGGTAAATATGCATATCTCCCTCTGGATAAACCCCATATCCAAAACCTCTTAGTACATAACCCTTATTGTATTAACAGATCAAAGTATAGTACCCATATACAGATCAAAGTATAGTACTTTACTGTAAAATAAATACACATATTCTTATATATTTTATTTACGTAGTTGAGTGAGCCTTTGCAATATCTTGATTCCTATTTTCATGCAGTAACAACTTTTCATGAACTTTTAGTGGTTTCATACTCAGATGAGTCCTTTCATAAGGTTTAAATATTAAAAAAGTCATTATGTTCAGATCGATTGGGTCAATATTCTGTTGCATTCAAACTTTTGATAAAGGCTAAACAAATAAAAAGTTTCATGAATATAATTTTAAAGCAGTCGACTTTCTATAACCAAACAAACTCCTTAATACCCAGAGTACATGTTCCAAAAATGATGTGTACTGTACATGGATAAGTGAACTTAAAATCTGAAAAGGTTGAACATACATAAAATGTAAACATACGTATTTACTGGTTGAATGGATTAAAATTCACGCTGGGCACTATGATAACTTGTTCATGTTCAGTAGACGTGACCGTCTAAAAACTGTAATGAGGACACTCTACTTCACACTCTATTGAGCGAATGGAAAATTGCTTATACTAGCCCATATATGAATAATTGGAGTGGCTGAATACAGGTATGATTATATCAAATATGAAATTCATGTACAGTAGCAAATACAAGTATAAAGCTTAAGTTTATCTTTCTGTCACTTTGACAATAACTGTTCAATAAGTGCTACAATATCCAGGCCCGTAGTCAGGATTTGCCAAGGGGGTTCAGTTTTCAAAAATTTCCAGGGGGGTTCACAGTTGACAATTTTGGCCCAAATATGGCTAAAATCACTTGAGAAGTGCTAAAAATGGTGAAAAACTGCATGATTTGGAAGAATTTTTGGCCAGGGGGGGGTTCGCCCGAACCCTGCGAACCCCCCCCCCCCCCCCCCTCCTTGATACGGGCCTGATGTCAACTGTATGATTTGTAAACTATTGTAATAATGTTCAAGAATTAAAATTTTATCATCTATTACAGTAAAACTTTAAATGTTTGTAAGTGCTTCGAATTTAAAAAATAAGCAATTAAAGGACCATATTGAAACAGTATATGTAAAGATAGAAATATTTATACATGTCCAGCTATATAACTTTAGTGTATTTTAGTTTGTTTTGTAGTTTAGCTATCATATCTGTGGCCTCTTATATTTTGATACTTCTCTGCCATGTTATTTTCGTAACAATTAACATGGCTGAAACTCCCTAAGCTGCACATTATACATAACTATCTGAAATATACAAAAGTTAGGACATGTACAAATGTTTCTATTTTTTATTTACTGTTGTAATATAGTCATTTGTTTGCTTATTTTGTAAGTACTTCCAAACATTCCAAATTTTACTGTATATCGCAAATACTGTAATATAGTAATGAACACATATGAAAAAATTCCTATACCTGCACATGTTATTTTCTGGTACAAGATACTTTGATCATTTTTACTAATAAATTAAAAACAATGTTATGGGAGCTCCGAGAAAAAACAAATTTCAACAAATGAAAATCTTTCCTCTGATCACTACAGTTTTTTCTCAGTTATCTTTATTTCAATATTTCAACTACTACAGTATTATGCATTTTTATATGAACTTCTGAAATGTGATAAATGTTTGTGGATCTAATGTTCACAATTAAAAGACACCATTTAGCACATATTTCCTGAAGTTGACCCAAAAATACTTTCTCAATTGTACATGCAAAAGTTGAACATACAAAATAAAGTTTAAGTAGGCTTTGCAATATTTAAAAAACACAAAAAATTGTAACATGTGCTGGTCACATAAACAGTACAATATACTCTAGCCATAACAATTAATATTACAATCATATATCTACATTTATACAGGGTGACCCAAAAAGAGAACCAACCGAAAATTGAGTCATTTCATTACACTTAAGCAATCAACTATATTTTCTATGTACAGATACAATCTATAAATTATGACAACATATCATCAAAATTGAATATATAAGATAAATCATATATAAAATAAATAGAAGACTTTTAATTTTATGTTTCATCCAATGGGATAATTTACTATCTTTGGTCTGTTTCACATGTTTCAAAAATCAGGTGTTATTTGGCTGAATTTTGTCTAAAAGTAAAATTTGGTTTTTGAGATTTTATTTACTTTTATTTAGGTTAAAATATATGTATCAAAAAGTATATTAAAATTACTTAACTATTTGTCATGACATATCACCTATCACTTTGTACAAAATAGCTACAACAATATATTAAGTTATCAATTAATGTTAATGATAATGTTAAAATCGTGACCCTGATTTAATTGTGTTTGGCTTAAAAATCAAAGAACAATTTTCAGTAATTTAATTAAGTGATCTCCTGTTTTTAGAGCTAATCAAACTCATTCTTGCACGGTGCTTTCAGGTGATTGTTCTTGGTCTAGGCCTCAATTGATGGATTGTTATTTTAAATTTTCATTGAAGTGTTCAACAGAAATATTTGAGGTAAATTGGTTAAAACTTATTTGCCAATCTGTATTGCACAGTAGTTTAAATATACATTCAAACAGCTTTTTTCACAAATTAAACATAATTTGATTAACCATTGTCTTTGTGATTAATCTAATGTGAAATTTTATTGTTCAAACCCAGATCAACTTTTTTTACAATATCACATTACAAACATATTTGAGAAATACAATATTTAATACCCATATTTGCATATTCTTATTTGCATTTTAAAGAAATAGGCTGAGTAGATTATTGACATAACAAACAAATAGAAATTTGAATAGGTTCAGGAGCTTACTTAGAATATATCTAGCATATACATTGTCAGATTAAACACAGGTTTCATTTGGGCGTTAAAGTAAAGTAATTCTATGATTGTCTATCATTTTGTTGGCGTTAAAGTAAAGTAATTCTATGATTGTCTATCATTTTGTTGGCGTTGAAGTAAAGTGTCTATCATTTTGTTGGCGTTGAAGTAAAGTAATTCTATGATTGTCTATCATTTTGTTGGCGTTGAAGTAAAGTAATTCTATGATTGTCTATCATTTTGTTGGCGTTGAAGTAAAGTAATTCTATGATTGTCTATCATTTTGTTGGCGTTAAAGTAAAGTAATTCTATGATTGTCTATCATTTTGTTGGCGTTGAAGTAAAGTAATTCTATGATTGTCTATCATTTTGTTGGCGTTAAAGTAAAGTAATTCTATGATTGTCTATCATTTTGTTGGCGTTAAAGTAAAGTAATTCTATGATTGTCTATCATTTTGTTGGCGTTGAAGTAAAGTAATTCTATGATTGTCTATCATTTTGTTGGCGTTGAAGTAAAGTAATTCTATGATTGTCTATCATTTTGTTGGCCGCTTCTATTGATTTTAATATACTGTAAATTGCTTTAATTTGGCACATTTGGTTTTTGAAATTTTGACTGCTATTTAAGTTGGAGGAATACCTATCAAATATGGATATTGGAAGGCTAGCTAGCATGGAAGTGATGTGGTCAGGTTACATTTTGGTGGCAAAGGGAGGTTTGCTTTCATTTAATGGGATACAATCATAAAAGTGGGATTACAATCAAAACATTGAAAGAATTCTCGATGAGACTTTTGATCCCAGGGATTTTTCAAAAATTGGCAGAGACTTAATTTCGCAGTTTTCATCAACTCGCCAAATTGAAATAGCCGTTAAATTAAAGCAAGTTACAGTATATGAAAGCAGCTGTAAAAATGAGGGTAACTAACTTTTAATAATAATGACCAGCTCATCAATTGAATAGATATTTGTTTTTGCAGTAAATTAGCGCAGATGTTTATTACTTCAATTGGCTGATGATTCCCAGGTGAAACCTCTGGACACTGTGAACTTAACGAGATGGAACAAAAGTACTATCATCATACTTTCAAATACTGGACTACAATTTCATGAACCACTGATGCAATACATTTACATTTTAAACACTAAGAAGTGTATTAACTGAATATTTTGAATCACAACTGAAAAATATTATAAACTAAATTTGACATAATTAGACATCGGTGTGATAAAATAAAACAATGTCAGCTTTGAAAGGATGGATCCCTAAAGGAAAGTATAGACTGATCGTGCTCCTGTTGATGTGGATTATTCTGTTTCAGATATTCATATTTGGTCTTATTGCATCAAATCTAACACATTCTCATGCTGTAAACCATAGCAATAAAGATGTAACACTAGCAAGAGGAGAGATGATGTCAAATGATGCAAAAGACAAAAACGACAGAAAGGACAATAATTCAAATTGGGAAAGTACTAATATTAATGATGAGGCGAACGATTTAAAAATGCAATTTGGAGAAACAAGAAGCAAAACAAAAATCAATGATGATACTCTAAAACAAATATTAAAAATCCTTAAACGATTGAAATCTGAAAAAGTAGAAAGATATAATAGTGCCAATGATAATAATGAGAGCACTATCCAAAAACATTTTGCTAGTAATACAGATATAGATGAACATCAACTCAGAGTTGACAGAATGCTGAGGAAGGTACATGCAATTTGGAATGGGACAGATACCTATGTAGCCAACCATAGAAGTCTAAAAGTATGGGATAGAGCTAAGATACATGATGCGGTTATTAGTCCACATGACTATACATACTTGATCAATGAACCAAACATATGTAAAGATGATCTGTTTCTGTTGGTTTACGTTTATACTGCTCCTTCAAATGCCTATCAAAGGAAGGTTATTCGAGAAACATGGGGGAAAGTATCCCTATATTCATCTCTAGGGGTTGTCATAAGGGTAGTTTTCCTTCTTGGAAAAACACATATTGAAACAGTCCAAGAAAGTATAACACAGGAAAGTAAAATATATCATGATATTGTACAGGAAGATTTTATAGATGCTTATGAGAATTTATCCCATAAAGGAATCATGGGATTAAAATGGGTGACAAAGTTTTGCCGAAATACAAAATTTGTCTTAAAAATTGATGATGATGTCCTTGTGAACATGTTTAAACTCATCACACAACTTAAGAATATGATCTCATCCGGAGAATCTTCTGAGAAAATTATACGAGGAAACGTCTGGGCAAATGGTATAATGCCAGTTGTTAGAGAAAAGGGTACTACACTTTATGTTTCCCCTGAGGTATACCCAAATGAGAACTATGGGGAATACTGCTCAGGAGCTGCTTACCTGTTGACCCAGCCAGCAGTTCGAGCTATTTACAAAAAATCACTATATGTGCCATATATTCATATAGAAGATTACTACATAACAGGCCGTATAGCAACTTTAGCGGGTGTAACTAGGAAAAAATTTGACAATACAACACAAGCTTATCTTCTTTTTGATGAATATTTTCTACTAATGTATCAATCTGACGCAAGTGACTCATTGATTTTTGGACTATCATCAAATATAATGTATGTTCCACAAGCTTGGCAGCGTATTTTGTTGAGACATTCACAAGGGGTTTACTAAATACAGTACAAGATAGAGGCTTCAACTATATTTCAGTTATACTAAGTATACAGTGTATGTTTTTCATAAATCTACAACTTAAAAGGGCGAACCTGATATATAAGGTATCAACTATGTTAAAGACGTACTAGACATATTCTGCATTAATCTACAACTTACAAGGTGAACTAGACATGTTTTGCATGAATCTACAACTTACAAGGTGTACTAGACATGTTTTGCATGAATCTACAACTTACAAGATGTACTAGACATGTTTAGCATGAATCTACAACTTACTAGGTGTACTAGACATGTTTTGCATGAATCTACAACTTACAAGTTGTATTAAACATGTTTTGCATGAATCTACAACTTACAAGCTGTACTAGACATGTTTTGCATGGATCTACAACTTACAAGCTGTACTAGACATGTTTTGCATGAATCTACAACTTACAAGTTGTACTAAACATGTTTTGCATGAATCTACAACTTACAAGTTGTATTAAACATGTTTTGCATGAATCTACAACTTACAAGATGTACTAGACATGCTTTGCATGAATCTACAACTTGCAAGTTGTATTAAACATGTTTTGCATGAATCTACAACTTACAAGTTGTACTAGACATGTTTTGCATGAATCTACAACTTACAAGATGTACTAGACATGCTTTGCATGAATCTACAACTTGCAAGTTGTATTAAACATGTTTTGCATGAATCTACAACTTACAAGTTGTACTAGACATGTTTAGTATGAATCTACAACTTACAAGTTGTACTAGACATGTTTTGCATGAATCTACAACTTACAAGTTGTACTAAGCATGTTTTGCATGAATCTACAACTTAAAAGGTGAACTAGACATGTTTTGCATTAATCTACAACTTACAAGTTGCAATAGACATGTTTTGCATGAATCTACAACTTACAAGATGTACTACACATGTTTTGCTTGAATCTACAACTTACAAGTTGTACTAGACATATTTTGCATGAATCTACAACTTATAAGATGTATACTAGACATGCTTTGCATGAATCTACAACTTACTAGGTGTAATAGACATGTTTTGCATTAATCATCAACTTACAAGATGTACTAGACATGTTTTGCAAGAATCTACAACTTACAAGCTGTACTAGACATGTTTTGCATGAATCTACAACTTACAAGGTGTACTAGACATATTTTGCATGAATCTACAACTTACAAGTTGTACTAAGCATGTTTTGCATGAATCTACAACTTACAAGATGTACTAGACATGCTTTGCATGAATCTACAACTTACAAGGTGTACTAGACATGTTTTGCATGAATCTACAACTCAATAGGTGTAATAGACATGCTTTGCATTAATCAACAACTTACAAGATGTACTAGACATGTTTTGCATGAATCTACAACTTAAAAGCTGTACTAGACAGTTTTGCATGAATCTACAACTTACAAGTTGTACTAAACATGTTTTGCATGAATCTACAACTTACAAGTTATATTAAACATGTTTTGCATGAATCTACAACTTACAAGATGTACTAGACATGTTTTGCATGAATCTACAACTTACAATATGTACTAGACATGCTTTGCATGAATCTACAACTTACAAGATGTACTAGACATGTTTCGCATGAATCTACAACTTAAAAGGTGAACTAGACATTTTTTGCATTAATCAACATCTTACAAGGTGTTCTAAACATATTTTGCATTAATCAACAACTTACAAAGTGTACTAGACATGTTTTGCATTAATCTACAGCTTAAAAGGTGTATTTGACATGTTTTGCATGAATCTACAACTTACAAGGTGTTCTAAACATATTTTGCATTAATCAACAACTTACAAGGTGTACTAGACATGTTTTGCATTAATCTACAGCTTAAAAGGTGTATTTGACATGTTTTGCATGAATCTACAACTTACAATGTATACTAGATATGGTTTGCATTAATCAACAACTTACAAGGTGTACTTGACATGTTTTGCATGAATCTACAACTTACAAGATGTACTTGACATGTTTTGCATGAATCTACAATTTACAAGGTGTACTAGACATGTTTTGCATGAATCTACAACTTACAAGATGTACTTGACATGTTTTGCATGTATCTACAGCTTACAAGGTGTACTAGACATGTTTTGCATGGATCTACTTCTTACAAGGTATACTAGACATGTTTTCCATGAATCTACAGCTTCCAAGTTGTACTAGACATATTTTGCATGAATCTACAACTTACAAGATATACTAGACATGTTTTGCACGAATCTACAACTTACAAGATGTATACTAGACATGCGTTGCATTAATCTACAACTTACAAGGTGTACTAGACATGTTTTGCACGAATCTACAACTTACAAGATGTATACTAGACATGCGTTGCATTAATCTACAACTTACAAGGTGTACTAGACATGTTTTTGCATGAATCTACAACTTACAAGTTTTACTAGACATGTTTTGCATGAATCTACAATTTACAAGATGTACTAGACATATTTTGCATGAATCTACATCTTCAAAGGTGTACTAGACATGTTTTGCATGATTCTACAACATACAAGTTGTAATAGACATGTTTTGCATGAATCTACAACTTACAAGGTATGCTAGACATGTTTTGCATGAATCTACAACTTACAAGATGAACTAGACATGTTTTGCATTAATCTACAACTTACAAGGTGTACTAGACATGTTTTGCATGAATCTACAACTCACAAGGTGTACTAGACATGTTTTGCATGAATCTACAACTTACAAGGTGTACTAGACATGTTTTGCATGAATCTACAACTTACAAGATGTACTAGACATGTTTTGCTTGAATCGATAACTTACAAGTTGCACTAGACATGTTTTGCATGAATCTTCAACTTACAAGATGTACTAGACATGTTTTGCTTGAATCTACAACTTACAAGTTGTACTAGACATGTTTTGCATGAATCTACAACTTACAAGTTGTACTAGACATGTTTTGCATGAATCTACAACTTAAACGAAAAAGTTGTACAAGACTAAATCTATGACTTACAAGAGTGGACAATGGACATATTGAAATGATATGGGCTGATTAATTTTTAATCAAATAGGATAAAGCAGAATTATATAAAACAATCTAAGATTAACATCTCTCAAAAATATTTATGTAATTATTTCCAAGCTCATTCTCTTATTGGTCAATCAATATACCATTTGATACCGTAACAACCCTAGTTAATACAATGTACATGTACTTTTCATGTGTTAAAGTCACTTTTAATAAACTGGCTGTATAAACTTATATGACACTAACAGAGCTGTCAAGTGTCCCGCGAATGGCGGGATTATCCCGCGAATTTGATCAAAATTAGGCTTATTCGCGTGTCCCGCAATGTCCCGCGAAGTCCCGCAAATGTCGGCCTTGACCTCTGCGAATTTCCGAAATTGTTGCAATCCTCTATATTGTGATTATCTTATCTTATATAAGAAGTTTTTGCACTTTTGAGGAGTACTAAGTTTACCTAACTTTAAGTACCAAGCATGCTTTTGTTTGGTATCAAAATAAAGAGGAAGGGTTCAACTTTCATTTTAATTACGATAATAGGGATGTAGGTCATAAATAGTTCCAACGTTGGCCTTTTTACTACGCGTGTGGCAATTGAGAACTGAGCGAATGTTAGCAAACGCGAGTTACAATAAATGGACGCTGACATCTAGAAAAGTAACCTGACTCTCTATAATTTGATGTAGATTAATTGAACGGCCTATATCATGGACTTTCAATTGAAAGCCCATGCCTATGAACAGGTAATATATATATATAATACTATGGGGGAAAGCGTTTCATAGTTGGTCACGAACGCCATAAGTGCAAAGTATTGTTCAGAATTTTTGAATTTCGTGTTCGATTATGGGACTCACACCTGAAGCATGGTTTTTGTTTTTGATAAATAACAATAAAGTTTAATATTATTCTTATGCGTATTTTGTGGAATTGTGTTGCCGTTTATTTAAGTTACAATTTAAGTGTATTATATTTGGTTAATCAGTATCTGAAAGTTTGATTGGAGTACTTTTACCAATCACGCAAATCCCTTGCATGTCCAGGGACATCCTGCAAATTTAGGTGAATGTCCCGCAAAATGCTGCAAATCTAGGGTACTTTGTCTAAAAAATCTGTCCCTCTATGAAGTCTTTGGTGGTTAAACTGTTAACTGTCCCGCAATTAGGTTGTTTGTCCTTCGAATGGTCCCGCGAAATCCCGCGAATTTGATAAAAAAAAGGCCTATTGGCGCAATCACGCAAATCCCTTAAAAGTCCCGCGAAATCCCTCGAATTTAGTAGATGTCCCGCAAAATCCCGCGAATTTTGGGCACTGGGTCTAAAAATCTGTCCCGCGAGAAAATCTTTGGGGGTTGACAGTACCGCACTAAGTATAAATTTGTAAGGGTAATTACAATAACTAGCTTAAGTTGTGTACCAAACGAAATGACAAAACGTCCGGGGCTTTATATGATTTGCATTACACAATGGTGTAAAGAGGGGTCAGTTTTCTCAGACCTAGGTACCTTTTTCTGTACCGTTTTGCGGTTATTTTACTCTATGGCATTGCAATCCATTCAAATCATTAGCTACATAATTGATTAACTCAAATATACGATATGTAAATAAGGGTTAATACGAATAAACAGGGAAATGTACTTGAAGTGGCGATTGTGCTTTCTGTCAGTCAGTGTTACCCCCCCCCCTTACCCAGCTCTATAGCGCAGTATACGGTGACCTGATTATGCAAATGAATTGACCCTGTTGGTTTTCTGTCAGAACAATCAAAACGGAAGCGGACAATCTTCATCTTAACTGTTGTTTCTCAACATTTCATGACCAAAATTCACTAAACTACATGTATAGGAAATATGTTAAGTTTTAAGGATGGATTGATTTTACTTACCAATCACCAACATGAGCTGGCATATTCAGCATTGAACATTGAAATTGCGAACAAGAAATGTAACGTAATCACAATGTAATATTTACAATCTACTCTTCCCTTCAATAAATATTTGAGATCATTGTAGTACCATATAACCATCAGGCCTGTCAACTTGGGAACACCTAACATGAGTGACTTACAAATGTTGAACACCTTCTTTCAAATTGTGGACATCTTGGTTCAAAACTGAACACCTTGGTCAAAATATTTGACAGGGGGGTAAGTAAAAAAATTTGAAGTAAATGCATGACATATACACATGTTTTGAACCAAATGCGTGACAATCAAAATCTCATTCACTTTTTTTCGGCGTCCATATTTTTAACATATCACCATTTTATAAAAAGCAGAATATTTTAAATATCAACATAATGCGTGATTTGTGTGACATTTTATCATACATGCAAAATTGATGTGTGATTTCAATTTTTCCAGCAAATGTGTGATAATCACGCCTAATGCGTGAGAGTTGACAAGGCAGAATCATACTTTAAAGATATCTCGAAGTAATGGAAAATTTCTGCTCTAGGCAGCCATTTTGAATTTTCTGAGGCACAAATCAGAAAACCAATACCATAATAACCCAGATGCGAGTAGAAATAATCTTGATTTACGTCATTAAAAATTCAAAATTCAGTCAAAGTTATATCATATTTGAAATCTACATGTACAATTACATCTAGAAATGTGGTTTTAAAAAGAAAGTGTTTATCAACTTTGAAAAATTAATTTTCTTTGAAAATGTGACTTCTAGCTCGGGGGGATTCCCCATAGACCCCATGCTATAAAATCACAAAAAATGAAATATCTTTTCTTTTAGTGGACAGATAATATTTTGCTTTATTATGCACCTCATTAAAATACTCAAATCTGATTGGTTCTTAGTTGCTTGTAATTTGGCAATACAGCTGCTCTTTTCTGAAAACTGCCGGATATTTTTTTAATATCTGACCCTTTCGAGAAAAAGGGTCGGATATTTTTTTCAATGTTTTTGCAACATTCCCACTTCAGAGTTTTATTTCTTAATAACTGGAGTACTACTTAAAGCTTACATCTGAAACTGGCGGAAAATAGAAGAAAAAATGTACTTAATCAATCACAATTACCCTTATCATTCAAAAGTTACATATAATTCTGCAAGAACGTCTCGAATAAATAAAAATTAAATTCCCGGGGCAAATATTTTCGTCCAGCGTAGCGAATAAACTGGCCGCAAGTCGTCTGAGTTTTGAAAGAAAAAATAAATAAATGTCAAAATAATGTCAACTAAACGACAGTTTAAGCCTGTACTCCAGTAAGTACTCCACTTAACTTTGATTGGGAGGTGCATAATAAAACAAATACTGGATGGACATATTTTCATTAGTATAAGTATTAGACACATAAGGGTTATATCAAAATTGAGCCACTTAAATAATAATATTCAAGTTTAAGGGAACTTTCTTATATACCTGCCATGTTAATTGACCCGAATCAGCCACCTGGTGGTGAAACTGGTAACTACCTACTCGCATTTGGGTCATTGTGATCTACTCTAAGATTCCTTCAATTTGAGTATAATACATAGTAATTAATATAGCCATACTTCTAAGAGATCAGAAAATTATTGCAAAATCAAACATTAGGTGGCCATTTTGAATTTTACAAGGCCCGAATTAGAAAAACAATACAATATTTGCAATCTACTCTAAATTCCCTTTCATTGAAAGCAATTCAAAACATCTCAAAAATACTGTAAATTCATGTTTTCCAAACCCCCCATTAACAGCCCCTGGGGGTCAGGGTGAAAAACACGGATTATATGTGAAATAGATAGATATTGTGAATTTACTACCAAAATTTCAAATAATAATATTCATTACTTTGGTTTAAAATGAAAAACGTCAGATTTTTGTGAAAAGTTCCCACTATGCCCCAACCCTATATTAGAGATTTAAGGTTTGCTCTTACCTTTGGCGGTTGGATTTTCCCTCTTAATAGAATCTATAACTCTACTGCCCTCTATACCGCATTTTGAGACTAAAAATCAGAAAACATATTAACATGAGTAAATGAATATTCTACATACTCTAAAGGAGATATAAAATGTTCTTTAAACTGCTGACTTTGTTATTGAGATGAAATTAAGGAACATGAATAATGATATTCAGAAAAACAGCCACCTTAAGAAAATATAAATTGAAGTGTAAACAGAATAAACACTAAAAGAAGACAGGAACCAGGCCTGTCAACTTGGGAACACCTAACATGAGTGACTTGGAAATGTTGAACACCTCCCCTCAAAATGTGGACACCTTGGTCCAAATCTGAACACCTTGATCCAACTTTTGAACACCTTGGTTTAAATTTAATTACATCTTGCCAAATTTTGAACACCTCAAATTTTTCAAATAAATAAATAATTTTTCAAATATCCATCAATGGGGGGGAGGGGTGGGGGTAGGTACGAAAAATTTCGAACGGAATGCGTGACATATACGTAATTCGCGTGAAAAGTCCGAACGAAATGCATACGTTTTTTTTTCTGCGTTCGTATTTTTGCTGTGTAGACGAACTTTTTTAGTAATTTTTTTACAGAAATATTTTTGCTTGACAATTACCAGGTAAAATGCGTATTTGCATGACATTTTCTGTCACGCAAAAATAACTGCATGGCGTGACTTCAAATTCTTCAGCAAATGCGTGACAAATACGCAAATTGCGGGACAGTTGACAGGCCTGAGGAACATACAAAATGTCACCACCTGCCATTTGTTACAGACCCTGTACGCCAAACACCAATTGCTGAACACCAACTGCAAACATCTGTCCATAAAAAAGTTTGAGACCATCACTTGTGATGATGACATAAAACCATATTTGCAGTGTCTTACAGGTTCTTAAGATTATGAAACAAGACACACAAAGCACAAATTCTGATCCATTCATTATAAAGGATTGGAAAAGATTGATAGAGACTGTACCTAAAAAGAGGTGCAGTTTATAACAATACTGTAATTAATGACTTGCTTGACTAACTATAGGTTTATACCATTTCTCTAAACCTATGTACAGTATAGCAAGTGTTATTGTACCTATGATAGTGTGTGCTCCCTTGTTGACTAGAAACTTTGTGACCTCATATCCAATGCCTGATGTGCCTCCTGTCACTATAGCAACTGTACCAACTAAGTTCACATCATCTGAAATTGCAACAATTCATAATGGTATATACACAGGAATGCAACTATACACAAAAAAAAGATTTAATTAGACCCAGATGTTTGAAAATCAAGGATTGTGAGTCTTATATTGTACCACCGTTTTTCTTCAAACTTGTCCCGTGCAAAGCAAAACAATCGTTGATTTTCAAACATCTGGTACACACTGGAGGTAGGACCTGCCAGATGTTACAAACTTGTTCCATTAAAGCAAAACAAAAATGCCTTTCTGTTGGAACATTATTCTGATATAAAGAATCCCTCCTTTTAAAGCAGCAAATTTTCAAAGAATTCAACTAAGTACACAAAAGGCCACAGCATTGCTGCCCATTACACAGGCAATATAATTCGACGCCGTTTCGGCATCGAAAAAATTCGGCACTGTTCCGGCACCGTTTCGACACCGTTCCGGCACCGAAACCTTTCAACACCAAAATTTGCTACCGGACTAGTCAGTCCATTTGGTGCCGAAACGGCACCGAAATTTGGCACCGAAACGGCGTCGAAATTTAGATTGCGTTTTGGGGGTGTATACATAACTACATCTGAAATATACAAAAGTTAGGACAAGTACATATGTTTCTATTTTTTATACTGTTGCAATATACAGAAGTCATTTTTACCTTAGTCTAAGGCTTCTAAGGCTTCCATATATTGCAGCCTTACGCCATGCATAAATCCTTGTGTGTTTTGTTTTGCCTCATAAGATGCTTGTCGTGATCATAAAATTTGAAATCAACCAGCCGCCATGTTTTCACTTCTCAATTTGAATTGCGAGTTTTGGTCTTATTACCTCACAAAAAATTTCAAAGCACACAGGAAGCGATCAGTGTATAAGTTCAAGTCTTTTAGATCGCTACTTTGAATTTACAGCCAGACATAACGACATGTTCGTCCACTTTTTGTCATTGTTGTTGAACATCCACCATTTTTCCTGGAGCCGTTGATTTAATTTTAGACGAAAGCTTGCAATATCTCACAAAGGATACTATTCGTTTACATTCTATTTGATGAAATAATCTCATTACGATTTTTAAAATAACACATAAATTGATTTTTACTCCGAATGATCGTTTTCACTAGTGCACGGTGGTCCACATGCTAGGTCTTCTTGCCAAGTAATTTGGCTAGAGACTCAAGTTAAGTTTACCTTCTTCTAAGGCCACTGTATCGTGGCCTTCCAGTAAAGATATATTCTTGCATGAACAACTGGTCATGTCTTACTTCCTGCGAAAGCTATTTGGATTCTAATATAATAGCTTTCCCACGGAGCATTTGGACAGCTGAATGATTGTCACCTTTGAAATCGAATTAAGTCGATCCGCGGCTTACTTTTGGTCTCTAACTGTGTCTTACATCAGTATCATCAATCTGTGTAAGTATTAGAGCGCTGAAATACTTCTTTTTCGATCAAGACTTGTAAATTGTTCATCGAGTGAATTTTTTTTAGACCTATTTCCAATATGGCGGTTTGCTAGAAGCGAGATACGCAACGAACGAAATGAATTTTGAGAATTAGTTAGGTTCGGACAACCTCCGGAGATTAATACGAAAATGTCCGAGCAGAAAACGCCATATTGGAATTTAGCAGTAAAAACATTCACTCAACTAACAATTACAAGTCTTGATCGAAAAGGAAGTACTTCAGCCCTCCAATACTTACATGGATTGATGATACTGATGTAAGACACAGTTAGAGACCAAACGTAAGCCACGGATCAACTTAATTCGATTTCAAAGGTCACTATTAATCAGCTGTTCACTTCCCCGTTTGAGAGCCATAAGTTTCAAAATCTAACATGGCTCTCGAAGTGAGTAAGTCATGTCGTAATCATGAAATTTGAAATCATATGTCCGCCATTTTTCCACATCACAATTTGAATTGCGAGTTTTGGTCTTATTACCTCACCAAAAATTCCAAAACACACATAAAGTGATCAGTGTATTAGTTCACATCTTCTGGATCGCTAACTTAGAATTTACAGCCAGTTACTAATGTCAGACGTTAACAACATTTCGTCCAGTTTTCGAACATCGCCATTTTTCTTGGAGCCATGTTGTTTTTAATTTTAGACAAAATCCTGATGAAATCATGTCATATCTCATCAAGGAGCCGAGCGGGGTCCGTTTTGATTAATGATTTATTTATCTGGCAATTTTCAAAATATTCAATAAATTTATGAAACGGCGGCCAGCTTTTTTCAAATAGAGTTCACAGTATTCCAGATGAAATCCCCTCTAGCCAAGTATTGGCTATAGACTCGAGTAAAGTCAAGTCATTTGATTGCTTATATTTTAGATACAAAGTGGTTCCAAACATTTAAAATTTTACTGTATGGCATGTAGTAGAGATATCGCACCAAAACCCGGAAGTGAAATTAGTTTTCAATAATTCTTTAAAAGCTGTTTTTTATTAAAATTCTGGCATCTGTGTTTCTGTCCCTGTGGAGAGAAATGTCTTTTTCACTTCACTGCAGTGAGAGACTTATCTCATTCTATACCAGATTAGAAGATAATCTATACGCACCTTCAAATGTTTTGTGACCCTCTCCTAACTCTTTAATTAAAGTTACAATGCCAATGAAGTACAATTTAATGAAATCCCATAAACATTTGAAAATAAATTTCAATCTCACGTTGGCCATGTTGTGACTTTCCTAATGACGTCATTGGAATTTTGGTGATTCCCTACGTAATAATTTCGTTTAGGGTAAATAATGGTTAGAATTTCCCCGGGTATTTTTGATTTTAAAATTTTATTGCACAACAAATATAAATCTTCAGAAAAAAGTATTTTCAGGGCACAGGAACTTGTAGCACTATGATATGAGATGCATGTTAGATTTGAGTAAATATAAATATATTTATATTGACTCAAATCTGACATACATGTAAGCATCTGATATCATAGTATACAAGTACTAGTTGTGTTCTAGGGCTTGGAAACTAGCAGATTCCTTCAAAAGTAGTGAGGGTGTGGATATGAGAAAAGGAGACACAATATATATTTCACAAACTCTTACTCGAATCTGCTCCATAATTTATACCTTAATACATGTAATACCGCATTTAACAGGGCCTAGTGGTAATTACGGAAGGTGCCGGAGAACAAAAATGGGCATGTCACTTCAAGATTTTGTCTTTATTGAAAATTATATTTATGATCAATATCAAAATTACTTCTCTATACATCCTACATTCCCAATCTAGGAAGAATGCTTTCTAGTTGGAGTCAAAAGTCAAATTGAAAAATTCACTTTCCAAAATTCACTTTATTGAGCAGACATCTTTTCAAGGATTTTCTTCCTAATTAGGAGAAATCACAACTTATGCTAACTTCAACAACATGGGAAATACAAACAGAACAAAACCATCTATTTTTAAATGTTTATTTACACACAATTAAATGTACAATATAAAAGAAATCTCACATTATGTTAAGGAATAATGCTATCTGTATCAGATGCTGGCAGAGTTTTGCCGGAAGTTTGCAAGAAGTAACTTTTGGCAATGCAGTATGTTAGAGTAACCTAGTAGGTGTAAGAAAATATAAGGTGATGGCCTTTAAAGTGGTAAAAACAATTTTCACGGCCGAATTGGACTTCAATTCCTGCGATTTCAGGGGGTACTATAAGACTATTACATAACATAAAGGATATAGTTGCTATTGTTCTGCTTTCTACAGCACACATTACAAGTCCAAAGATGAATAATATGCTAAAGTTATAGGCTGATATATGTATTAGCCTCAGAAATATTGCAATTAATAGGGAAAAAATACGCAATTTTAGTCATTTTTAAGTCTCACGTATCTTATATTTGTAGCTTCCAGCAAAAGATGGCAGCTTAAATAGCTCAAAATTGTTTTCTAAAAACTAATTCAAGCTTTGTTTGATATTGTAATACAATTATAATAATGATAATGTACTATTTATGATTTTTAATATGACTTTATAGTACCCTACTCCTGAAAAGTGGGCGTGGTCAATGTTATCATTTTGCAGCATACAATTAAAAACTTGTATTGATAGAAAGCAAATCAATGCATATAAAACATCTTCACTTGTTACTTGACAATGTAAGTCATTTATTATTAAAATATAGGACTCTACATATTTTATATATACAATTTCAATTTTGTACAATGTATCATAATGAAATCTAATAGGCTGTTTCAATTTACAAACTTTTTCTCGGATCACCCTTACCTTTTGACAAAATGATCTACTATATGACCAATAGCCACAAAAAATAGCAGAACTGATCAACGTTTAAACCCCCCCCCCCCCCTACCCCTATGTTTGTTTTGTATGGGGTCCGCCACAATGCAACAAGTCCATTTTCAGTGCTTACTATCACATGGAATATAAGTCACAATGTTTCCACAATATCTGGGCAATGAGATATTGCCATTAAGGATATGTATGCCCAGATTCAAGATCATGGTGTAAATGCTTGCCGATCTATCGGCTTTCAAAAATGAGGAAAGCTGTCTTGAGTGCCGTTTCAACTAATTTTGAATTAAAACTGCTACTTATGAATTTTTTTCTCAACAACTGTGATTTGGTTAGAGTCACACAGGATATCAAGACACAAAATGCAGTCAGATATCGCGAAAAAATGTGACAAAATGCACTATTCAGAACAATTTATCTCTTAAATTTTACTTTTATTTACCATAATTTCTGATTCTGCCTCTAGTTAGTAATACCAATAATACATATGAGTAGACTTAAGGTCATAGTAAGTGTAGTTACAGATTTATTAGCATCTAAAAATGGGAGAAGCAGTGTAGCAAGTGCAATTTTCACCTATAATTCATAATATTAAACTGCAGCTTTCAGGATTTTCTTCTCTAAAACAAGAATTCCATGAGACCCCAAAAGACAGTATTCCATATCACTGTACCACCAAATATATATGAGAGTAGTTTCAGGAGGTTATATCAAATAATCATTGAACCATTGGCACCTAAAAATATGCAAAATACAGTCAGAAATGGTGAAATTGTGATTGTGAAAAAATGTATGTATTCTTAACAATTTTTTAACAAAACTGTATTTTATTTAGAACTGAAACTTGAAGTGCTTACTAGGAGTTACATCTAGTTATTATTTATTAAGTGACTTCAGCATCCGGATTGATTTAATTATAGGATATCCTATGATTTTGAGGAATATCATTTTTATCTACGAGGTGATATTGATATCAATATCACCGAGTAGATTAAAATGATATTCTGAAAAATCATAGGATGTTCTTATTATCCTACTCTTAAAAGGAGTGTACTAAATGTATAATATCATTGCAAAATGAATTTCATGCCAAATAGAGTCAATTTGGCGGGAAATCAACAAGCGGAGTATAACGTCACAATATCCTGCGCATATTGGGTTTTCCGGAGTATATCGTCACGATATCCTCCGCCCGGAGTATATCATCACGATATCCTCCGGTTATTCATTTTGCCAATAGATATCAAATTTATTTTTTAATGTTATTATACATTTAGTACATTAAGTGTAGGATAATATAGGAATATCCTATGGTTTTGAAAAAATATCATTTATATCCATGAGTGGATATTGATATTTTCATGAGTGAGCGCAGCGAGTGAGTGAAGATATTTGTATCCATGAGTGGATATAATTGATATTTTTGAAAAAAAATTTATTCATCCCATGTGAAATCATCATCGGCGAAAAAATGTGAAAAATATAATTCGAGAAAAAATTTGAAAAAATAATTGAAAAAAAATTGTGAAAAAATGTTGAAATTTTTTTAAAATATTTTTTCAAATAATTAAAAAATGTTAAAAGAAATTTTTTATTGAAAAAATTCGAAACCATGGACGTTACGTGATATTCGATGGTTTGTGAATTTTTTGCTAAAATATTATAACTTGATCCACATATCAAATATATCTTCATGTGATATTCAATCTATATCCTTGCAACCATGGAATAATCACTGATATGCTTAAGACCAAAAAACCTATAAAGAATGTTATTATTGAATACTGAGAATACATTGTTTTTACATTACGGAGCTTTATTTCTACCTGAAAGTATTTTGGAACATATCTCTTGCTTAAATATTTCATGCAATGTTACTTTCAAAAACTTTCTTAGAACAATTAGTCCATCCTATACTTTCACATGTTATTCTCCATTTCGTTTTTAAAAATTGTGGGAGCTTTAAACTCTAGAAGAGCTTAATTACCAATTATACCATGCACCCTCTTTGCCCTCCGTCGCATTTTTCTTAGAATGGCCAGGCATATTTCAAATTGAAGAGTAAAGTCAGTTAAAGTGATATATAGCTGTATATAACAACGTATCTTTCACTTGATACTGTGATGTCAAGCTTAAGCATTCAAACAATGTATTTTGTCCCAAGATACAATAAAGTACTGATTTCATTTATTTATCAATTCAGATGCCTTGGAATTAAAGTAAACACTTGGTATATATTACCAATATTATTTTTACCTATTAATGGTGGTACAATGACCAGGTTTCCTTTAATGTCTTTGGTCTTACTGTGCAGTTTGTAAAAAGAAAATTCAGAAAGTTGCAGTCTTAGATGGAAAACTGGTGAAAATCATACTTGCAACAGCTTTTTCCATTTTCAGAAGCCAATAGATCTGTACTTCCACTTACTATGACGTTAAGTCTTCTCATATGTATTATTGGTGGTACTAACTGGAGGCAGAATCAGAAATTATGTCAAATAATAGTAACATTTAAGAGATAAATTGTTCTGAATAGTGCATCTTTCATATTTTTCACGATATCTGACAGTTTTTTTGTCCTTTTGCCTCTTTTTAAAAGTACATGCAGAAGTGAATATTTAATCTAGAGCTCTGAAACTTCCAATATCAGAACTTGGTAGCATTATGTCTTGGTATCTTATGTTTGGGGTCTAAAAAAGTCACAGATGTTGAGAAAAATATTCATTAAGCAGCAGTTTCAGTTCAAAGTAAGTTAAAACTGCACTCTCGACAGCTTTCTCTATTTCTGAACGCCGATAGATCGGTAAGTATTAGTATTAGGACCTTGAAACTGCTCATATTATGTAGTCCTTGTGGTACTTTCTCATTGCAAATGTAATTTGGAAACACTGTGACTTACATTTCATGCGTTAGTGAACACTGAAAATGAACCAGTCTATTAGATTTCATCATGAATACATTGTACAAAATTGAAAACGTATATATAAAATATGTAGAGTCCTATATTTTAGTAATGAATGAATTACAATGTCAAGTAACAATTGAAAATGTTAAAAATACATTGATTTGCTTTCTATCAATATAAGTTTTTAATTGTATGCTGCAAAATTATAACATTGACCACGCCCACTTTCCAGGGGTAGGGTACTATAAGTCATATTAAAAATCATAAATAATTACATTATCATTATTATAATTGTATTACAATATCAAACAAAATTGGAATTAGTTTTTAGAAAACAATTTTGAGCTATTTAAGCTGCCATCTTTTGCTGGAAGCTACAAATATAAGATACGTGAGACTTAAAAATGACTAAAATTGCATATTTTTTTCCTATTAATTGCAATATTTCTGAGACTAATACAGATATCGGCCTATAACTTTAGGATATTATTCATCTTTGGACTAGTAATGTGTGCTGTAGAAAACAGAACAATAGCAACTATATCCTTTATGTTATGAAATAGTCTTATAGTACCCCCTGAAATCGCAGGAATTGAAGTCCAATTCGGCCGTGAAAATTGTTTTTACCACTTTAAAGGCCATCACCTTATATTTTCTTATACCTACTAGGTTACTCTAACATACTGCATTGCCAAAAGTTACTTCTTGCAAACTTCCGGCAAAACTGTGCCAGCACCTAATACAATCCTCATTCAACATAATCTAAACACACTGAATGATTACAAAATAGAATTGTACACAAACCTCACCCAAAATAAACCAATCTGAAAAACAATTGCCCTATTTCTTCCCCAGGAATATGGTCTTCATTATACATAATTTGGTTCAAGAATCAAGAATCATGTTATTTGAAAGTACTGGATCTCTCTTAAGGTAGTTCTGCTTGATGCACAAACAAAATTGAAAAAAATGGGAATGAAATTGCAATATCAGTTGAAATATTTTGATTTTGAACTATCTATTCTCCTATAATGTGTTAATCAATATCTGCATAAAAATATGAAAAATATTAACCTGCATTTTCAAAATTCTCAACATGCGCAACTATCTTAACGACCAATTAAAGTCCATAAGCCATTCACTGAAATTACTTTCAAATCAGAACCTGAAGGTAATTACAATAAATAGTATGTCTTATTTTCATTAAGAGTCTAAGGTCTAATAACACATTTAGTAACACATTACGTATATGGATGTATTTTGGGTACAATGAATATTACAATACAACACAATTTAGTAACTTGAATCATGTTACTTCACAACACAACCATAGCTACAAAGCAATACATTTATCCAAAATTTGAAGTAAAGAAACTAAAGTGTGGCCAACAACATTCTCTCCTTTTAACAACATAAAATATGACGTAAAAGACACAGTGTTTAAAATACTGTACTTTTGAATATCTTACTGCTACATAATTAAGTTTTCAACCATTTCTTAGAAAATGAAAAACACTTAGTGCCAAGGAATATTTGGTTAGGAATATTCTTTTAGATTTCAACATGATAATATTTCACTGGAGGTGGAAAAAGTGCTCATATCAGAGAAATATCAACTTTACAGTCTCTTTGCAGTCAAAGCTATATATTCATTAACAGTCTAGAATTGCATAACTGTAGACCCTCGTCAAATATTTCTTGACACTTTAAATGTTTCACATATACATTATACATGTACAAATTATATCTTACACTTGTAAAACATCAAATCCTTGAACAACAGCAATATTTATGGAGTTCACCTATAGCCATGTTCTATTTTGATGCAGATATATTTGATGCAAACTAAAACCATACAGCACAACTACCGGATTTTCTCGCATATAAGCCCTGGGCGTATAACTGAAAGAAGGGGTAATTTCGTCTGTTATTTTACCTCTTATTTTTTGCCCATGGGCGTATAAGTGTACTAATTTCGATTTTTGGCCCAGTGGGCGTAAAGGTGAGAAGAGCTGATGAATACAATGGACTACCGCACCTACTGTTGTAGTCCTACAGCATGTTTTGTAAGAATTATAAAGGAAATGGCACCTACAACCTTGGACTTAATGTTGAAACAAAGTAACAACAGGACGATCCACCACTGCCACTTACGGCACAACGTTGAACTTAATGTTGAAACAAAGTAACGACAGAACGATCTGCCAGTGACAAAATACTCTTGAATTTATTGAAAAAATCAATAAATAGTCATTTTTATAGGCCCATGGGCGTATAAGCGTACTACATTCGATTTTTGGCCCATGGGCCTAAATTTAGGGGGGCGTATATGCGAGAAAATCCGGTACAGTAAAACCTGTGTATATTTAATATTCTTTGTTCAGAAACAACGTTTAGTGTTGATAGGGGTTCACTACAGAGAAGGTAATTAATACTAAAGTCAGTAGAGTATGTTGGGAGGAAAGGTGTCCACTAGGGTGTTAAACAGAGAGATGTATTCACTAAGACAGGTTTTACTGAACACTGTCCATGAGTACACAAAAAGCTGAATATATTTAACCAAATCACTCTTAATAATAAGGAAATTGTATTTCATACCATTAATACAACAATAATATTTTTAGGTCATCTAAGTGCAAAAAATGTTGTTTTTTAACAAAATGAAATGCCAAAATATCTCCCACTCCAATTTACGCCTCAATGTTAAGCTATAAATTATCACTGACCACTATTATATCTTATATGGTATTTTCTTGTCACCAGATGAGGAGCAGTGATTATAAACCTATGCTCTAAGTCCCAGTTTTCAAGCTTTAGGCACTTATTTTATTGTAACTGTAATTCATTAAACTATGCGAAAATAATGTGTGTGTGATTAAAATATAGTTCTGATTTGCCAAGGAAAGGTGATAAAAATGTGATTTCTCCATATATAAATGCATGTAGAGTTTGTACATGTGATTCTTCCATATTTCATGTGTATTTGCATGTAGTGATGAATCTTAGATTCTTCCATCTGTAGGCATTTACGGAGCTGTATATATGATTCTTCCATATATAGGCATTTAAAGTATTGAATTTTTCTATATATAGTCATGTAAGGTGGTGAATCTGTCAGTTAGGAATGTGACTTTTACTTGATGAGAAAACTGAAAATAGAAAATCAAACATACAATATCAAAAAGAAAAATGATTTTGTATTTCACTATCTTAAAAATGTAATTTAATCAAAAAGTTATATTCATTAAGAAACATTAGATTTTGACTAAAATGTAACTAAACCATTTTGAAAATGAAAAAATACAATAATTGTAACATTTCCAAAGCTCTTGAAGAAATAAAACCAAAGCCTTATATTTGTATCGACAATTAAAGTGTTGTTATTCTTCTAGAAAATCTTTCATCAAAATCATCATTCAGTTTTACAATACTGATTGGCAACAATAGTTTATATAAAAGACCAACTTTTTCGTAAAAACAAAGAGTAAAATGGAGAAATTAGAATTTAAGTGTTTTCTTGCACAATAGTCTCCCCTTGGTGTCCTTACCTGTATGGGTAGCCTTGATATTTCGATCTAAACACTGACAGTAGCAGGCTGAAGAAAAACGCTACTGTCCCGAGACCAATTAGAGCCATTACTGAAAATAGGAAATAGAATATAATTACAGTGAGTAAGACTTGACCAATATGAGCACCAGTTGGACAAACTTAATGTCCAGATTATAGTCAGGTGATCAGATATTCATTTTGGAGTTTTCTGCAGACTGAAAATGTATTCAGAGATTGTCACATTTTTGGTGTATTTTGCACTTAAAAAAGAAAGTGATAGTTTTTTACAACTTTCCATTTCTGAGAAAACACGTTGGATTTTGGGGTATGATGTAGCTATATATTGGGGACAGGACCAAGGTTCTACTTTTGATAAGCTATCAAAAACATTTTTAGTTGATATCAATAAAGAGATATTCAAACATTGATTTTATTCACTTTCACTTTCTGTAATGACAATGAAGATAAAAGTCTATTATCAGTATTGTAATGTATTTTAACAAATATTTTAATGTTTTTTAATGCTGTAATATGTTGTATTTTAATGATATGTCATTCTGCCGCACTGATACTCCTCATGTGCCACTGTTGTAAATAGTGAGAGCAATAAATAATAATAATAATAATAATAATAATAAAATTACATTCAGCATTTAGCATGATACTTGGAATGATATACGGAATGATGCCTCACATGTGTTTGATATTTGGATACTAGTATACAGTATTTTTTATAATATATCTGTTTATAAAAAAAAATAGTACTCACTTCGTTTTTTCCCAGCATCAGCTTTCATATGTTGAGCTTCATTAAGTAAAACCATACCTACACATATAGCAGCATCTGTGTGGGGTTAAGGATATAATCATTTTTTGAGTGCCCATTTTATAAAGTACATGTAATACCACCCCAGACCCCCCTGGACAAAACATGCAGTTTTTCACCATTCTGAGCACTTTTCAAGTGATTTGGGCCTTTTTTGGCCAAAGTTGTCTAAAGGGAACCCCTGGAATATTCTGAAGTGAGCCTCACTTGACAAATCCTGGCTATAGTATGGGCCTGTATAATGTTAGTTTCTCTCCTTCAATGCAAAATAATCCACCGCGGCGGGCAGCATATCTACATTTATATTGACTATTGTTAGTTGTCGACTAACTGATTGGAACAGGGGAGAGAAAGATTATCTACCCTGTGTGCAGAGTCTAGTTAAACTACACTCTGCCTAGTAGAAACCATACTACGGTTTAGTAGCCCGCCCCCACGACAGGTGCCGCTGACAGTTCGGGTAATAAATCACTTCTGACCTACGCACTGACCTTTGTTCCACCAATCAGCGAGCTTGAAGAAACAAGCGCCAAAATAAATTCTGAATTGTCATTGGTCAATTCCGGGCTTAACGATGACATCAGAAGGAATGACCATATATAGAACGTCGGTCAAATTTGGCCGACGAGCATTGATTGGTGTGGTGAGTTCACAGGTTTATTTTAGTTTGAAAGAGTGAAGATGGAGCTCTCTTTTAAGAAGTGAAGTCGAACAAATGCAAAGGGTAAAGATATTCAGGATCTTTGCCATGTACTTAGATGTTGATCTACTAATTTGAGATTTAATACCATTCTGATTATGTCCCGTTTTACAATACAGATTGCAGACATTGACACAAACAAAGAACACAAATGATGGTTTACATGGGAAAGAATGACTACAAAAAAGCATTGTTCATCTTAGCAGTTTTTCTTTTCTCAATAAATGAAGTAAAATAAAATTTCTGATGAGAACCATGACAAAAACGATTTTTAACATAAGTTATCAAAATCCTCATGGTGTTGTAGGAAAGCATTAAATATTTGCACCAACAACCAGAATTGTGATATGAAGATTAAAGGTTTTAAGACCAACTGCAGTGTTAGACCAACTGCAGTGTTAGACCAACTGCAGTGTTAGATCAACTGCAGTGTTAGACCAACTGCAGTGTTAGACCAACTGCAGTGTTAGACCAACTGCAGTGTTAGACCAACTGCAGTGTTAGACCAACTGCAGTGTTAGACCAACTGCAGTGTTAGACTAAATCATTTTGCATTTTATCAAAGTCAAAGGAGATGTGTTTTGAGACTAAATATTGCTGAATCCCTTATATACGTATAAACAATTTGGAAAAAAATAGCATGGGGAAATAGGGCACAAGACCAAAAGTTGACCGCCACTATCAAAACACTTCCAAGTATGCTACTGCTGTAATTGTACAGGGTGACCGGAAAAAAAGGAGACCATTGAAATAGGCAATATCTCCTAAATAGACTAGTGACATCAATGAAATTTTGCATACATCAGGACAGTTCTATGGAAATTTGTTCCTGAAAGTGTCAATACAAGCAGTCAACTGGTTCAGGAGCTATGATCATTTACATAACATGCTCCAAATAGGCGCAATTGAGACCAACGCAGAGCTGGATACATTTGGCAAATACCCTTACATATTCCGACCTTGTTATGACATTACATTTAGCATTTATTGCCACCTTTAGGTCAGCAATTGTCTCAGGATTGTTTTGGTACACATTGTCTTTCAAATTGCCCCACAAAAAGAAATCAGGTAGATTCAAATTTGAGGTGTATGGAGACGAAGCTTATCTGACCTATGGCTTCTGACTCAGTGGTCCCACTCAGTTACAGTATCATCCTAAGGAGGTTTTGGGCAGCCCTTGGTTTCCATATGGGATTTAATTGTGCCATATAGTGGTTTTAGTAACATGGCACTATGCCCAATACCTAAAGTGACTCTTAAGATTTGGTAAATCAGCACTTTGGCAACAGGATGATGAACCACATGTCAGATAACCCTTCATTGCCATTACAGCCTAGACTTGAATCCTACTGATTTCTTTTTGTATGGATATTTGAAAGACAATCTATACCAAAACAATCCTCAGACTATTGTTGACCTAAAGAAGGCAATCACTGCTATATGTAATGCCATAATAATGCCATAGAGGGCAGAACATGTAAGGGTAGTTTGCCATATGAATCCAACTCTGCGTTGGTCTCAATTGTGCCTATTTGGAGCATGTTATGTAAATGATCATAGCTCCTGAACCAGTTGAATGCTTGTATTGAAACCTTCAGTAACAAATTTCCATATAACTGTTCCAGTGTATGCAAAATTTCATTGATGGCACTTGTCTAGTTTAGGAGAAATTGATTACTTCAATGGTCTCCTTTTTTTCCGGTCACCCTGTACTTTATCTCCCAAGAATTGATGTTTAAGACTTTTTCAAGTCTATAAAAAGCTTTATATTACATGACATGTTTTCATATCTGTCAGATACAAATTCCTACTATGATATAGCTCTCAGCACATAGCTGCATGTCTCCCTTAGGGTAGATGTAGTGCTAGAATGTGAAAACAAAATTGAGAAATATTTTAGGGTTATCAAACTGTCGATCACATATCGTTTTATCTAAGTCTTGTGGTAGTATAGTCAATAACATAGAACCAAGAACCAAAACAAGGCATTAATATGCAAGATGTCATTACCTGCCATTTGTTACAGATGATGAATGCAAAAAAAGGTCGGAGACTCGATATGTCATCTCTTGTGGTGGTGACATTATAAAATTTCAGTTGTTAAAATGGAAATGGTTGTTTAAATGCCAGATAAGCCATGGTCTATTAGTAAATAAACTTAATGTATCAAATCATTAATTTATCCACCAGAGCAACATACCTACAATATGCAAACCTCCCAAATAAATCTTACTTGTCTTGTTTCAAGTAAGACCCCTCTCCAAAAAAGCTCTACTTCAAAGGGGGAGAGGGGCAAATGTTGCAATCCCAACGTGTTAGTACTTTATACCAGCTGTTAAAGGATACTTAATATAATAACTATGTACGTCTCTACGATGAATTGCCCCTGACTGCTACCATGAATATAGGCCTGAAAATAAAGACACACCATGGCAACCAAATCAAAATAAACTGACACCATGGTAACCACATTGAATTAAATAAAAAAACATGGTTACCAGAACAAAATATATATATATACATAAGTGAAATAATAAATACTAGTATCATGTTGGACTTGTTTCTCATTGTACTAGGAATAATAGTGTAATGAGAGAAAGTAACAGCAGTTTTAACATAGATTGCATTGAGCCTATCGATAAAATAACACTGATAATCTGAAAGTTATGGCCCGGTTTTGTTCATTATTTCAGTATTTAAAACTAACTTTTGCCAAATTAAACAGATGCCAATATTGTGAATATTGCCAAAACATCATTTAATTATTTTCAAGTTAATGACAAATACAGTACTATTTTTTTAAGGAATTTTGCAATCCTACTCACCACCTGCCCTTGTTGGTTTTTGTGCATAAATGGAGGTCCTCTTATATGGTTCCACATCTGACCCGATGTCATGGCAAATATAATAGACTAAAATCAATACAAAAAGATTCATTAATGAAACACATTTTTAGTATACTGTAGTAACTAAGAATAATTGATATATATGAATCATTTTTGACTTCTTTTACTTTCTTTACAATTTAATGTTAGGTAAATTATTTTTCTTGTGAACATCTTTCTTTGGATATCAAACATTTTTATGACGTAACAAGCTTTTTCACTCATGGTTAGAGAATGTGAAGGTATAAAGTTTAAACCACTTTGGCTTATATTGTAACTAACCCAATGCTATCAAAATGTGATATGTGAAACTTTTTTTTATAACCAGACAAGCTTTTTCACTCATGGTTGGAGAATGTGAAGGATCTAGGAGGGAATAGAATGATTAAACTTATCTTGTATTATATCGATATTATACATCGATGTATTTAAAAAGAAAAGGTAGTTTGAAGGTTAATACTGCTAGTATAAATAGATCCCTTAAGAATGCTGTAAACTAGTTCATATACATGCAGGGAAGACATTGATCTCTCCTGCATTAAAGCAAGTGGGTGCAGCACCCACCTGACATTTTAAAAACAGGCATGCACCCACCTAAAATCTATTTGCACTCACTCGAAAATGAGAAAAATCATGAAAAATTGGCATATTTTGACCACTTTTGGTCTAAATTGTAAAAATGAAAACTTTGCACCCACTTGAAAAAAAAATCATGTGGAGAACACTGACATGTGAAAGTATATGAAGTACACATTTAACTTACTAAAGCTGCATTTGCCCAAGATTTTTTGAAAGTAAATGAAGTAAACATTTAACTTACTAAAGCTGCAATTGCCCATGATGTTTTGTTGTAAAGGAACTCAAGGTTGTTCCTCTTCAAATAGAGAAGACCAGCTATCAGCGAGAATAACAGCACTAATGCTAGTGTACCACTGTAGTTGGGGGGACGGAATATGCGAATCTGTAACAAAATACACCAAATTTTGTGATAACTTGCGTTAATAAAAAATTCCTAATTTCTTGTGTACATGTATATTATAGGTTACCCATTTTTAGATTAATTTTTAACAAATGCTTTTTAACAAATTAAAGTGTGAAAAGCAACCTAATGTAATTATTCATAAACTGACAGTTCTATATCAAAAATCAAACTGGATAGATATATTCAGTTATTCATACAGCACATGCAGTAGGTGTATGCCCTTGTAATATGAAAGCTGTAATAAAATATTTTACAAACAAGCTTATTAAGATTGATATTATCATTTTACAAAAGTATGCATAGTAAAACCTGTCTAATCCAAAAAGAGGGTATCCACATGCCATTTGTTACAGAGACCAAATGCCGAGAACCAACTGTCAAACACCAACCACTGAACATCATCCACAAAAAATGGAAACCATAACAATACGTCACCACTTATGTGTTCAGAGGTGTTTGAATATACAGGTTTTACAGTATGCATAATATTATTTTCAAATCATACCAACCTGTATATCTGTTCGTTCTGCTATAAACTTTGACAGCTGTTCTGCAGCAAAGCCAACACGATGGATGTCCATTGTATCACCCTTCTTGGGTTTGCCCTTCGCTGGGAAGTGAATAAATACTGGCGCAGAGTTCAGTTTCAACTAAAAATACAATGCAACAATATGCATTTTAACTAGTACATATTCTTTTTTTATTGTACTAAAATAGCCATGTTTTAATACTAAGAAGTGGTCCAATTTATTTCATGGCATTTTCTCTATATTGAATATTTTCTTATGGCTGTAACAAAACTTTATAATCATAACTTACTGAAGAGAAGACATCCTGACCTTCGTCAAAGTCCACCATAGCAAAGAAAAGTTTGTTTGAGAACTGGTTAGAGTATCGCCATGAGTTAGCAATAATGGTGAATTCATCATTAGCTTGCCTACAATCAAAAATACAACTGATTCTTTTGTCCATATACAGGGTGACCCATAAAACAGAACCAACTGTCTGTTCCGCCCAATAAAAGTTTCTACTTTTTTGGGTCACCCTGTATGATAATTCTAAATGTACCTGAGACATTTGAAATTAAAAAATCAAATAGTCTAATTTACTAGAGAGTTTTGATAGTTGATATGTAGCTCAATGTGAGAATGTGGAAACATTTTAAAAAGATTGGAAATTGTTAACTTAGCTTTTTTATGTTTTTCTTATAACTTATTGAACAACCTGTGTACTTTAGAGGATTCAATATATGATTCAATATAGAATGGCATTTTGTCTAGAGTCTAAAAGTTTCTTTATCTACATGTACATATTTCCGTAAAATGGTCTCTTATAGCTAATTATATACTAGTTCTATACTGTACACATACTTGCAAACAGCACACTGCCGTTGTGGCTGCAAAGCAGTCAACATAAGTACAACGGAGTAATTCCGTGGGGTTGACTTCAGGTACATCCTGAATTTATCACCATTTAATCTGATAACAGACTTCCTAGAGCTCCAGTCCATAAGCTGTGATACTCTGTCACCCATTGTGGTCTGGAAAATTAAAAATGAATGAAAATTTAATCATGTATCAAGTAAATGGAACTAACAGCTGATTTCTTTTGTTTTATTTTTAAAGGAATCAAGATTTAAAATTCATATGACCAGGATATTCTGAGATTTTCCTCTTCTCTGGAGTCTTTTTTCTTGAGTCTAAAGTGTTTTTTCCGAAGTCTAATTTTACATTTTTGTCACATTATTTGTGGTTAAACTCTTGAGAAAATACATAAGACTGGATACAAACATGGGCTTGATGATACAAACAAGGAATAGGAAGTTAGAAATCTTTTAGAAATGTAAATTGTGATTAAAATAGGAAGATAATCTTAAGTGGTATTTAGAAAAGTATACTAACAAGATATCTCTGATCTTACATGTTGGAGGTGTAGTCGTGATACCGCGAAAAATCTGGGGTCTAAAAATTTCCTGATCATTCACTTTGAATTATTTTATTGATGAGCATTTTTTTATACAACTGAGATGATGGGTATGGGTTACCTTATCCTAAGGCCTCCACTATATTGCAGCTGTATTGGAGCTGTTGCCTCAATTTTAGATGAAAGCATGTAATATCTCACAAAGGACAGTTTTAATTTCAATTCGAATTGATGAAATATTTTTATCACGATTTTTAAAATCATAAGACAAACTTTTCATTAGCACACAGTAGTCCACATACCAAGACTTCTAGGCAAATAATTGGCTAGAGACTTGAGTAATATTTTCGTTTTTGATAGCAATATTTGCGTGTAATATTTAACTTATTTCAACCGTCAAATTACTCCATTCAGTTCCCGGCATGCACCAGTCATAAGGAAAATCCTTGGGGAATTCCCCTTCCGACATTTTGAAAATTACTGACATATTTCCGATGTAAAAACTAAAATCTCTTCGTTCTGCCGATAAACCCATACAATTGGCGATCTAACAACATAAAAAGAATCCTAAAATACTCTGGAATGTATCGAGGTAGGTCATTTAATAGTGCAATGCGTAGTTCATTCTCCGACAATGTAGAAAGACAGGTGATACACATGCATACTGGTGTTGAACTGACTTAACATGCAGCTTAGGTATTGTCCGGAAAAGTATTCAATTTACGGCAAAATAATGCCTCCCTTTTTCATGTAAGAGTTCAGGAATTTTTCGGATTTTTTTTAGAAAAACCAACGCATTGTTGAGACCATGTACCTTAGTCTACTGGCGCAACCGACTATTTTTGAGATTTTCTCACGCAAATAAGATTAAGCTACGTACCTCTTTCTTTTTTGTTGTGGAATTGCCATAGTGAACTAGTAAAACAACCAAAAGTAGAGAGAAACACAGTTTTTTTGCCACGTCCATGTCGCTTCCGGTATGAGAAGTTAAAGTTTTTAACGTTGACCTTGACGTCGCCAGGTTTGGGGAATCTCCAATATTTCTGATGCGTCATTGGGAAACCCTTTGTTTACAAACAAATGAGTGTCAGCTATTTCTAGCGATTGCACCATCCAAAAGTTAATATCAGCAGAACGTAGTAATTTATTGTAGATTATTTAAAGTCCTGACGTTGAAGGTGCAGTTCGCAATCACTTAAGCACAAGAAATTCAATGAAATAATGAAAATAGATGCTTCCACGTATTCAACAAGAACAACAACAACGAATGTAGTCAAATTCATAATACAAGCAAATCTTTGACTAGATAGAATTTTGACATTAAAAATCATGTGTGACCGATTCCGTAAAGATTTCCATCGCTTAATGCGAACATGTTCGAATGGGAATGAGCAAATAACGATAATCGAATGGAACGACGAAGAGCTCGATGTGTTTAAAGTAAAGATAAGACCAGCCAATGGCCCATATAGAGGAGGCGAATTTGAATTCATCGTAAGTATCGCATTAAGACAAGATGACCATTTGCAATGTAGAGTTGTGTCGGAAGCATTCACTTTAATGGCATGGATATTTGCAATTGGTATGGCATTGGTCATATATTTGGACATTTGTTATGGCATTGGTTCTTTATTGTTTGGACATTGATATCGCTTTTGGGCGTTATTTTGGTTCAGGTATGGGGACACATTGAAATTTGACAGATTGGTATGGGAGCGTATTGGAGGATTCAGCCTAGTATAAGTGAACCCCCGGGTCTTAGTTCCATGGTTTTCCATTCATAATTTACAAGTCATGGCTTCTAGTCAAACGGCATTCAGCAGTTCAATACTTTGGTAATCATATTGTATATACAACTTATATAGACTACTGTTTCCAGCCCTCCGATCCAATGGAAGTCATCAAACGTATATGTTTAGTTTCTCTATATACCATTTGATAACAATGCAATTGTTAATACAATGATATACATTAATTAATAGATACTATTTCTATGAATTAAAGTATAATGTAGAAATGAACAATACAATATATAATACGGATTAGTGCTGTGTGATTCAACATCATAATTCATTAATATCTTGATCAATCGTTTATTTTCAGATCCGAGAAGAAAACTATCCAAATTGTCCTCCATTGGTACACTGCTGCAACGACATCTATCATCCGAATATCGACCCGACGAGCGAATTCGAAGAAGGAAACGTCTGCATAAATTTACTAGAAGAATGGAATCCCAGATTCAATCTGGATACCTTAATGCAAGGTCTATTGTTCATCTTTTATGAACCTAACTTAGATGATCCATTATCACCATATTTTGCTGGGGTTTCATATGAAACGTTTAACGAGGACGTCAGACGCTCGATCAAAGGACTAGAGGTTGATGGTAACATATTTGACAACGTCTTGAGAGACGGTTGGTTAGACTTTGAAAAAGAACCCAGCGACACAAACACAACAAATTTAAATGATCTTTGTGTTGTTGTTTTAAATGAGAATGATGATGATAACGATGACATCGATGACAAATCCAACACCGTTAAAAACACGGAAGATGATACTACTACAGCAGCAATGAATAGACAAAACTCAAAATTTGAGAAGGATGAAGTTATACAAAATCCGGAACACATAAAACATCAAGTCGTCAACAAGCTGGACATTTATCACCAATACATAGGCGCTATTGTTCCTCAGATTTTCCACAAAGCATTTTATACACATTTTGCGACATCGATTATCACTACATTGGTTCAAATTACATTGACTGTTTTAAGGTAGCATCTATTGTAACTTTATGTGCACATTGCAGTGTTGTTTGTGGTTTGTTGGGTTACTGTAAAGTTTACCTTAATATATATTATAATATATTCTCCGTGCGGCTGCCGTGGGAAATGTGACTGCAAAAGTATGAGAGCGCAGAAATTCCACGGCGAGCGTAGAAATGTTACTGGCCGCAGAAATGATAGACCGCAAGGTCGCCGTAGGAAATGTGACTGGGGTGTTAGTAACTGCACAATAACAAGAAATTCACAGTACAGTTTTTTATGGCATACAGTTATATGTTAGAATTACAATTACATAAATATAATCTAGAATAGCAATGAAATAAAACTTTAAAAACAAAGTGTAAAATCAGTATGCATGTTTATTTTTTTATTTATTTATTTGCCAAACACTTTTTAATCAGTGGCACAATGGAAAATTCCAGTGCGGCAGTACATAGAACAAATACATATTCTTAAAATACAATACAATACAGATAGATAAAATAAATATGTTAAATTGTACATATGTTATGAGTTTAAAATATCGTTATTAATAGTCACTAAAAATTGTTTGACACACTTGTCAAACAAGAATCCTTGGTCTTTGCCCCAAATACTAAAAACAACATCTCCTAGGCACCACTTTAATTTTTCATTTAAAGGAAGCGTTAAGAACATATTAAATACATCAGGGGAGCATGAGGTTTTAATTCTGTTGTAAAAATCAATCCTTTCACGTTGGTTGTGACTACATGTAAAAAATCTGTGTGTTAAATCATCAATTGGATGAAGGGAACAAAGATCGCATTTTCTTCTTTTGAGGTCAGTTCCAATACCTAAACACCCAGTTCTGGCTTTGAACTTCAATCTCTGTCCAACAAAATCATTACTTGAAGTAAGGTAATTCTCCAGAAATGGGGTTTGTTTGATTGATTCATAAAATTCTAGTGAAGATTTCGAGGAACATTCAGATAGAAAATTACTTTTGTGTTGTTGGGAGGATATGGTCAAAAAAGAATCATACCATTCATTGTCATCTCTAAACACAACATCATCAAGGCCATTTCAATTAAAATGTCTTGTATGTTTTCAAAATATGGCCAACATGTTTTTACTCTTCCCTTGAAATTTTCAAACAGTTTATCAAAAATTGCCTTATGTAGGCCGTTCCTCATGGAGAACTTAAGATATAAAAAATAATCAATTTGTCTTTTCTGAATAATGTTAATAATGCTTCTCCAGCCAAGGTCACCTAACATTGCTGCTTTGGCAGGGTTACATTTAAGTTGAAAAATTGATTTGGCCAATTTATATTGCATTGAAGAAAGGGTCTTTTCAGAGGTCTTGTCAAGAATTAGAACACCACATCCATGCAACAAAGCAGGGAGGTACTGGGAGTAGTATAATGTATTACCAAATGATATTCTATTATAGTTAATATGCTTAGTTAGGGTTGATGCAACTAGATTTCTTAACTTCTTATCCTTTTCTTTTAAAACAACATTCACGTGGTAGTTATCTCTTAATTGCCTATTTAGATGGATGCCAAGATATTTGTAAGTATCAACTTCTTTGATTTCAAGGTCACCTAATACCCAAGTTTTATTTTTATCTATTCGCTTGCCAATAACCATTACTTTAGATTTATTTGGGTCGAATTTGAATCCCCAGCAAGAACCAAACTGATCTGCAATTTTTAGCATATGATTCAGTTGGCTCTCACTTTCGGCCATAAGAACAATGTCATCAGCAAAAAGTAATGTTGGGACTTTAATGTTATTAAATGGAATACCAAGGTTTTCTTTATTCAGTCTATCAACTAAGTCAGTCATGACTAGTGAGAATAGGGATGGGGATAAACAACAGCCCTGCTTTAAACCAGAAGTACTAGAATACCATGGAGAGGTAAAATTACCAAAAATAACTTTATTACAAACATCCCTGTAAGCCTCATGGAGCAACCGCCATATTTTTCCTTGAATACCCATTTCCCAAAGTTTCACAAATAACATATTGCGGTCAATAACATCAAAGGCCTTAGAAATATCCAAAAATGATAAAAATGTATTTTTCTTAGAGGATTTACGAAGTGAGCATAAACCTTTTAGAGCAAAAATGTGGTTTTCAAGTCTAAGATTTTCCCTGAAAACCAAGAAGGTCACATGACTCTGAGTTAAGTTTAATTTTACTATCAAGTAGACTAGTATAAATTTTATAAACATTGGAATTCATGGTGAGACCTCTGTAATTATTTAAGTCAATGTTTAAACCTCGTTTGAATAAAGGAACAAGTAATCCTTCTTTCCATTCTGTAGGCATAACTTCTAGGGATTTTACTTTGTTAAAAAGGTCAAAAAGGGAAGAAAACATTGTATTTCCCCCGTATTTAAGAAATTCATTAGGTATATTATCCGTACCACACTTCTTGCCATTATTAAGCTTTCTGAGACATTGCACAAGTTCAGCATATGTAAAGCAGAAGCTGTTTAAGGCATTATTATCATAGTTAGTTTCCTTTAATAAAGAATCTATCTTATCTGATAGATTATTGGAGGTAAACTTTGGATTACGATTATTACGCCCCACCCTTTCCCAATACAAATGTAGAGCCTCAGATATGGCTTTGGGGTCAGTTAAGATCATATCTTTGTTGTTAGGGTCTTGGATTTGAATGGGATATCCATTATTTTCATTGAACATTTTCAATTTTTTCCATTATATGTCAATAGTCTGATATCATATTCAATAAACAAAATGAATTTATACAAAACCTCATTGATCTTGATCCTCAGTGTAAACAATATAGCGGTTATATATACAGGGTGGGCCAAAAAAACGCCACTTTTTTTCAAGACCACAACTTTTTGATTTTCCAACCTACATACCCCAAATTTTGCAGTTATATAGTGCCAAGGGTTCTTAGTAATAATATAATGTAACAAGTCCTTCAACTTGGATTATATATGATCAAAAAGGGGAGTTCAATTGGTCTGCCACCCTAATTGATGATATATTTTAGTTTTAGTCGCCTTGCTGATATTGCAGTATCAATGAAATGTTATTTAAGTTTTTTTCAACCTGTCTTAATTGCCAGCTTTAGTGTAGAAATTTTCTAGATTGTGTGCCATCATACATTCTCCTGGAGACCTTCCCATACCCTATCCTCACTGGGGTTTGCATCAGGGCTATAAGCTTGGCGATCATCAGGCCGTATCAGTTCAGGAACATTTTGCAAATTATGCTTATTTCTCATGGCACACCACATGTTTAAGTGAGACGCTGGTGACATATTTTATTCAAGTAAAAGTGTATAATTCATGATCAATGGCTAGATAACAACCTCAAGTTTCATTTGGTATGTAAATTATGATTTAATATCAAAATTAAAAAAGTTATAGCATTTTGAAAAAGAAGTGGCGTTTTTTTGGCCCACCCTGTATATATATATCATCATTCTTTAAAAAGAAAGCCTTGATTTAATTGCTTATTTCTCAAATATGAATAATAATAGGATAATTTCACAGCTTTTATCTGATAGGTTATGATGTATTCTTAATTTCTTATAATACCATAGTTGTCTATTTTCCTTCATGGATGACTAAGCTCTAAGAGCTTTAAGTGACCATGTCAGAAATGGGTTTGTGCCACTTTTTCTTTCATGGATGACTGAACAATGACCGTGTATATAGGGTGACATAAAAATGACACCCACCTTGCGTTACATACATTGTTTGTCTATGGACATATAGACTTGTCCTTTGTCACATTTAAAGAGGATATAATGCAAAAGCACCTCCAACAATTTTCAGATGTGTAGCTCAATTTGGTCCATGAGCGTTACAACATTTGCTCTAAATGTCGTTCTTTCCTTTGCAGAAACACATGGGTTACCGTTCTACAAAAATGCCCTCCAGCTTTTGTATCAAAACTTTGTAAATACTAATGATTTTGGCTTGTACTTTCAGGGAAATGAAGTCTATTCAATTAAACACAAAATAATGTAGTTGTCGCTGATGAAATTGAGTATCATTTTTTGTGTAAGATCCAGTTGTGTCAGCAAAGGAAAAGACGACACATTTTGTAACTCTCATAAATGTGCATTTAGGTGAGCTAGTCATCTGAAACTTCTTGTGGAGTTCAAAATGGAGGGTAGTTCAGATGTGCGAAAAAAAACAAGTCAGAATTTCTTCAGACAAAAAAAGTTATGAACCATCATGTGGATGGATGGCCGGGATGGATGGGTGTCATTTTTTGTGTCACGCGGTAGCACTCTATTCACTGGCTTTACTACGAAATGTAACTGATCATTTCAGGAACAATTGTGATCTTATTTATGTGCTTTTAAGAGACCTTCGGATATGGAGATCATGTTTCACGTCAAGTTCGGATGACGATACTGTAAATTGATTGTAGATTCTATAGACAACAAATGCATATGTTCAGTTAAAATAGGGCAAATGTTTATTCAATTAAGATCGAATATCTATGATTTATTTTTAATTACTTCATCGTAGTCAACACAATGCTGATATATTACTAATTACAAGGGCATACCAACAAAAGCATATTGTACACTCACTTTTCCCAATACAATTGAAATATTGACCACTTAAAATCCACGTAGTTATTTCTCTCAAAGTGTACACGAACAGAAAGCATGATTATTTTAAGTGAAATAAATTCCAGAAAAAATCAATTACTGTAGTAGTCTGAAAATAATTTCACCAACCCTCTTTTTAGCTCGTAGCCCCCCCCCCCCGTGGCCAAATATTTCTTCAATCTGAATTTTTGAAAAGTGACCCCCCCCCATCGGCAAAAAAACTGCCGACGGGCTGATGTATTTGCTAAGGTTAAAATGAAGCAAGGTTGCATCAACTTATACACTCATTTGTACCCACTTGAAATGAGAAAAAATCTTAAAAATTTGGCGTACTTTGGTTAGAATATAGAATTGCGAAATTGAGGACTCACTTTAGAACCTTGTACATAAATGCAACGGACAAAATTGATGTGTGTGTGATCGACAAATCAACCATTTTCTTGCAATAGCCAACATTGTCAAACATCGAAACGTCAACCTGTACACATAAGTTGCCCTATACGAGGGGTGATCAATAAGTAATGGACGCATTTTTACACAGATGCTTTTTATATACCAATCCCTTCGATTTTCTTACCAGTGATACATCATTCAATTATCTATCAACTCTGAAGATTTGAAGACAATATATATATTACATGTTGAAATATCTTTATTTCCGTGAAGGAGGTACAGGTACCCCGGGACCGACATTTACGTCACATATTCTGAAGCTATTTTCGATTGTTTAACATGCAATGCAGTTGAATGCAGGCTGAACAAAACAAACCATTATGGTCATGAATTACCCCATTTTGTTATGCCATAGTAATAATATAATAATTTTGAATATTTTATCATCACTATGTGGTATTCATGCCACATTCATTCCACAGGGCCCTCTAAATAGTTTCCATCAAGTGCTACATGTACACAATTCCTCATCCTCTTAACTCAAGATTGTGAGACAAGGCTGAATCCATTCTCTGACATGGTAGCAAGATACAGTTGCACGGGTTGTTTTATTTCATCAATGTCAATAAACCTGCGTCCTTTCTCTATAGAAATAAGTACTATAGAAATAAAAAAGTCACATGTGAGCAGATCTGGACAATATGGTGCATTGGCCAAGGGCTCAACTTTGAGGTCCAGGGATATTGTTTTCCAAACATTTTGAGATCTGTGGGCAGGTGCATTGTCCATATGGAGTAGGGTGTTCCCTTCTCTCACCACCCCTTTCTTCCACTGAATGCTTTCTCAAATTGACCTGCAAACCCCTTCCATACACCACTCTGACATTACAATACTTTCTGTTTATGTGTAACCAGTCAGCAAAAAATTTAAACAACACAACACTTGTTGCATATAAAACGTTCAAATCTAACTGGAATTTACCAAACTGGCTAAAATCTGAATATGTGACGTAAATGTCGGTCCCGGGGTACCTGTACCTCCTCCACGGAAATAAGGATATATCAATATGTATTATATATCTTGTCTTCAAATCTTCAGAATTGATAGATAATTGAATGATCACTGGTAGGAAAATCAAAGGGATTGGTCAATAAAAAGTATCTGTGTAAAAAAGCGTCCATTACTTATTGATCACCCCTCGTAAAAATCCATGCAGTTTTCTCACATAAATGATCGTTTAGTTACAGTGTTTTTAGCTGGCTTTCTATGGTCCATATTTTAGACAAGCTCGTTTCGTAAGATATTTGGAGCTTAAACATGTATGGTATACATACTTTTCTTCACAAAGCATTATACTGTGCATCGAAATCAAAATTGCCAGCATAGTATTCACCCGATTATTCAATAGACATGAGTATAATGATTCCCGTTGACACCAACGTGAAATTGCAAATCTCCCGTTCTAAACACAGCTCTGAAGCTGATCGGGTATCTGAAGTAGATTAAGTGTAGCGCTTGTATTGCATGCGCGATATATACATTACTGTATCGATTCATTGGCTTTGCGTTCACGGTTACGTTGTGCAAAACATCGTTTGCTTAAAGTCTCTATTGAACCGATTTGATTGCATTCTGATTTATTAGAATCTCTCTTCATCTAAAGCTTGTGTATTCCAAGGGATAGTACTGGTTGTGAATCAGACAATGGCAGTGGTTGCAGGCCTTTGCGCACACTCCGTCATCAGTATGTCCCATTTCTGATCCAGGAGGATTGGCTCCGAGAATGCAATCTCGATATTTTCCAACAATGAAAAGGTTGTTATTGTCTGACATTGAACTTCCTATGAATTCATAATCTCCAATCCAAAAGAGTTGGGCTAGTATCTTGATCACTTCTTGTGTGTTTTGGACTTTTTGTTATGAAATAAGACCAAAACTCACTGGCGATTAAAAATCTAAAGCGAAAAATATCGACCAAATATCGACTGTTTAATTGAATTTCGTGATCACGACATCCTTCAAGATCGGACTTATCCAATGATTTGTTTAGTACCTTAGCCTCTGTGTGTACCGAACGAAACGAAATAATATCAAAATGGGAACTAATCCTCCTTGAGTTCTGATACTCTTCGGGTATTGAATCGCAAGATCTAGCTAGACATAATCGTAACTTGTTGAATTAGATTTATATATTTAAAGCCTTATGTTGATTTAAAACAAATAGGCCTACGTCCAATTCCCTTGAACTCCTTACTTAAATTATCTTTAGATCAGTAACCTTGTCTAATATATAGTTGTATCATTGACCAGATTGTCCCGATTTATGATTGCTCATGATAAAAAAATGTCCAATGATTGATTTTAATCTCCTAGCTGTGTCCATATAAAAGCAAATGCTCTTATTGCAAAACATGAAACATCCTTTGAAAACTAATATGTATTTTTGCGCTGGCCTGGGAATGGCGTTACAATATTGACCTCTGGACAAGGCATAAAACGATAGAGATTTGAAACATGCAGTCATTCATCGAAAATCATTGTGGTTAGAAAATGAACTGTAAATCATCAATTTGATTGGTTCAGAATTAGCTATGGCCAAATTGATCATATTAGCAATTTATTCTACAGTTACTGACATGCAATTTCAAGTTTGACCTTTTCTACCTTTAAAAGGTCATGACAAAGGTCATAAAGGGTATCATGCTTATTTCTGCCATTTGCCCCACATCGACCCAATACCATAAAAAAGTAATTAATAAACAAAACGTTAATGTGTACTGAAAAGCTAAACCAAAATGTCAAATAAGTTATCAGTCTGCTATCTCATTTTCTCATCCTTTGATTTCGAATATCTTACAACAATAGGCAATGATCTCCAACGTTGCATTATAATCTAATTCGCATTAAAAAGTAATTAAAAGAACTGCTTATAAACTTCGGGATCGTTGATTCAATAACATCAGTAAGGGTTGAGGTTCGGCAGAAAGATGATGCAGGCTTTAGTAATCGCGATCCTGTTTGCGGCATGCGCCGCTGAAAAAGTGAACGTAACACAATTGATGACACAACTCGTAGACGTAGGTAAGAAACTAGGGAATCAAAGTATCATCTTGATTCTCAAGGTATTAGTTGCTCCAGGTGTTATAACCACTTGGAATTCGAAGATGTCAAAGTATCGGGAGTCTAGAGACCTGGAGAGTTGACTAGTGATCAGGTTGTGTAATATTGTTATAACCACCTTCTTGTGATCGGCGTCGATGGATAGTCGGTGTTGTATATAAACATTTGTCGTTTTAAAAAACTTCCCGTATGGTGACTTTTGTAATGTTAATTGTTTTTTGCTTTTTTAGTTTTCATTTCAAGGAAAAAATATGTTAAGCCAATTACAATACAGTTACAAAGAACACTTACATTTTACAATACTGTTTCGATTACACTTCAGTTTTTAAGAATTGTGTACCAAATAGGAACTAAACAATTTTTTAAAAATACAGCAGTTATTTCTTCGTTCGCTGGTTATCAACAAAAAATCTAATGTGGTCCTTAAAACTGGATGGTTACACCTGGATACTGGCAAATTACATTCAGTTTTTGTTGTAACCGAAAATCATCTTTTAGTTCAAAATATTAGGGTGAAAAATGTTCTAAAGTTCTCGCTGATAGAAGAATAACCCAGATGCGAGTAGAAATAATCTTGATTTACGTCATTAAAAATTAAAAATTCAGTCAAAGGAATATCATATTTGAAATCTACATGTAAAATTACATCTAGAAATGTGGTTTTAAAAAGTGTTTATCAACTTTGAAAAATTAATTTTCTCTGAAAATGCGACTTCTAGCTCGGGGAGATTCCCCATAGACCCCATGCTATAAAATCACAAAAAATGAAATATCTTTTCTTTTAGTGGACAGATAATATTTTGCTTTACTGGACATATTTTCATTAGTATAAGTATCAGACACATAAGGGTTATATGAAAATTGAGCCACTTAAATTGATAATATTCAAGTTTAAAGGAACTTTCTTACATACCTGCCATGTTAATTGACCCGAATCAGCCACCTGGTGGTGAAACTGGTAACTACCTACTCGCATTTGGGTAATTGTAATCAAGGTCACTTGAGGGTTTATGAAAAATAGACCAACAATGACAGGATTAATTAAGAATCGCAACATGATAAAATTCCCTGAATTAATGATAAAGATGTAGAATTATATTATTTTAGATTGTACTAACCTAACCGGATTCAAGCCAGTTGGGTGGTTGGCCACTACTTATAAAGATTGCGTCTATGTTGTTTGCGACGCTGGGAACCCAGACCCCGAACTGAGAAAGGTATACACACTGGCGGATCTGGGGGGGGGGGGGCCCAGGGGCCCACTTTTGGGTTTTTGGGGCCCAACATTTTTTCCCGCGCAAGCGCGGACGTTTTTTCGTCAGACCGCAAGTTTGGGCCCCCCCCCCTTGTTGGTTCCCAGATCCGCCCCTGATACATGATAGCATTCACCAGGAGACATATTTGTAACTACTCAATATTGATAAGAGTAGATTAATAATATTTATTACCTGGTTTCCTTCGCCGGAGCTTAAAATGGCGGGAATGTCAACGTACAGAGAATATATTTATATTTTGACACTTTACGTTGACGATGGTTAGGCGTGGTAGAGCCAGAACGTGTGCGACCATTTGTATCTTTGGCCAGAGAGTTCATTATCTGAGAATTTACTTATTTATACAATTACGAATTGAGACACATTGCAGGGGCGTAGGAAGGTGTAAATTCAACACTACGCCAAAAATATGAAACAATTGTGTCAAATCTTCTTCATCAAATCGCTTATTTTATGCTCGTAAAACGTCACTTTATGGCAATAGGGGTTTTAGCTTGCAATGTTTTCACAACCTAAATGTGAACGGAAATATTTAAGCGATGCATTTGTATGGGCGACTGGTCATACGTAAAGGTTATATGCAACCTTAAAATCCCTGATACCTTTTTAATGTGCTTAAAATGTTCTAACGATTTTCATCATTTAAATCACCATGGTAAGCTGATCTCGCCACAAATCATTCTCACTTTTTATTATGTCTCGAACGATAGAGACGACCAATTTCCAACTAACAATGAGAGATTTTTAATCATTTTCGAATAATTGAATTGAGATATATAGTATTGTCTGATTCAATCGTGTACCGCGCAATACGACAATACGTACAGATCAAAGAATCTAGTTTGATCAATTGATTTAAAGAAACGCATTCGTGATCAATGATACAATTAACCCTAATGTCTGCAACCTTTTTTATAACACTAATTCGCAAGACCAAATAAACCTTCCACCACAAAGGTCAAATCGAGGTCAACGTGACTTAGGAGGTGCCAGAAATGTTGCATTTCCTAAAACAATAATCTATTATCTTTCAAATGTTATAAAAATCTAGGTAATAGCTTTTCTAGAACTGACATTCAACTTGACATTCAAGAAGTACTACCAATAATAATTGGTGCTTTATAGTAAGAAAATAGATAATTGCTGACTTAACTATAATTTCTGTCTATGATTTTGCCTCGCAACGGAATATAAATCGATATAGTGAAATAGAAAAATTGGGGGTAGGGGAGAATAAAATAAAATAAAATACACATCTAATTTAAAGAGGTTCATCATTATAATTAAATGATACCACAGTTTGCAAAGGTATTCATCAAGTAGTTTAAAAAACACAATTTTCTCTCAAATTCGTGAAGAGAACGCGAATCACGAATATTTGGCGAAATTGTATTTTAGTTTTAAAATCCATAAGATAGTCAATAGTGGCTCGATTTTCAGAGCACAAAAAACATGCAGAGTACTATTGAAAAAATAGAGCATCTCATATTGTGGTATCCACATGTCAAGTTGTCAGGTTCAATAAAACTAATAAATGAACTTAAGTGTCTGATTTGATTAAACAGATTACTATATTGTATTTATAATTACAAATAGTTAATTACAAAAATAGACAAAGTATACTAATACTACACAAAACTGGACGGCTGATGCTGCAAAACGTGCACACTGGATACGTGGAAGGTTACTGGGCTTATGATGTACGTAGACGGACGTTATGGTAGATGATACAATACACGTGAACTATCGAGAGTCTAATATCACGTTCACCACGTGAAGATACTGGCTGGACGTGTTGGTAGACTTCTTACTCGAGTCGGTTTATACTCACATCGACGTTACTGGATAAGAGTCTATGGATGTGATAATAGTCACTTGGTTTTATGCTGTACGTAGACAGACGTTATAGTAGATAATGCATTGCACGTGAATTAGCGAGAGTCTAATATCACGTTCACCACGTGAGGATACAGGCTGGACGTGTTGTAGACATCTTACACTAGTCCAATATTACACTGATACAACTCAGACACAGTTTATAGACGCACGAGACGATACAAGGAGACAGTCTGTGCACATACGCAGATACATTTCTCGTTGACAGCTACATACTACACCAAAACTATAAAAAATGGATAATAAACCTATCTAAGACACACGTTTCTAGGATATATGAAATATAATATTTTCAACTAGTTCCCTAAACTGGTACAGATAACCAATGGATGCTAAGAATAATATGCCATATAACACCCTATGCAGACAGAGCCTGTGGGAAATATTGGGTGCGGCGCAAATGAGCGGAGGGTGCGGAGCTAACGGTCATTTTTGAATTTAAAAATGGGATATTTCTGAAACTAAGCCGTTTTGGGACTTCAAATATACCAAGATATGTGTATTTGACACCAAATATCAATAAAATTGTGAAAATAGTAGTGCAATTCATTTTATAGCGACGCAGTATGCCTTAAACATTTCCCAGACCTAAATATTTTGAGACTATCCTTTTAATACTGCGTCCCCAGCATTCATAAAAAATGGTGTTCAAGATACACTACCCATGCAAATTATTTTTGCATCTTGGAAGCCAGGCAGTATCTGTGTGATTTTATAAAAATTCGGAAATGTTCTTCAGATATGAGCCCCTCTAAATATTGGGTGCGGAGCTACGTTTATGGAGCTGCTCCGCACCCAATATTTAGAGGGGGCTCATATCTGAAAAAATTTCCGAATTTTTATAAAATCACACAGATACTGCCTGGCTTCCAAGATGCAAAAATAATTTGTATAGATAGTGCACCTTGAACACCATTTTTTATGAATGCTGGGGACTCAGTATTAAAAGGATAATTTCAAAATATATAGGTCTGGGAAAGGTTTAAGGCACACTGCGTCGCTATAGAATGAATTGCGCTACTATTTTCACAATTGTATTGATATTTGGTGTCAAATACACATATCTTGGTAAATTTGAAGTCCCAAAACGGCTTAGTTTCAGAAATATCCCAAATCTAAATTCAAAAATAACCGTTAGCGCCGCACCCTCCGCTCATTTGCTCCGCACCCAATATTTCCCACAGGCTCTGTCTGCATAGGGTGTATAAGTGAACACCGAATACAAGAAAATTATAATTATCTTGAACAATATAACTTATCCTTGTACAATGTAACTTATCCTTGTACAATATAACCTATACAATAAATAAACACAAAGGAAATATTGAAATGAATATATACTAAATAAATACCTCAGTATGTTTCACTAATGTTGACCACATATTGTACAAAGTCACGCCACGTGTTATGACAAGGTAGATGACATCGACACTACACGTACATGTTGACACTAGACTTCACAGGAAAACGCACAACAGATAAACGTGGTTCACAAATGCAAGGGTATTTATATGAGTGGACAGTGAGTGAAATAGTGAATGAAATACCAAGGAAATGGAATGATGCCAATTGATTTCTATACTTATGAATACTACCTGTAGAGCTAAGAGTATATTGAATGATAAAACTCGCGTTTGACTGAAACGCTAACCATACTTGACACCACAAAACATTTCTTAAGGCTAGTGTCCTCGAGATTTCTTTTGCACAATACAATGAGAATATATGAATAAAGAACATAGGCAAATTAATTTAAGCTTAAGCCTTTTTATTCTCACTTTTCAACACTACGCACTGGCGTTTTGGCGTACATTGTTCCTACGCCACTGCATTGCCAAATTGTAACGTCTCAGAGTTCAATACATGATTCTCATTTCAAAAATAGGTGAAAGTAGGCTGAGCTATTATGATCATATTCTTTGATAAGACGAACCTCTTTATTGGTTGATGCCTATTGCCTAATATCAAGGGTTTTGAGCTACTCCTTGGCCAACAGTTATTTCAAAGTCATGCAGTTTTCTCGATTTTGAGCATATTACACTTTATCATATCATTGAATGTGGCGGCTTGTTTTCTCTGTGTTATTTTAAGATTTTTGGATTCCATTATAACTGAAAAAGTAGTAGGGGAATTTTGTAAAAATGGCGGCAATGGCTATTCGAATCGATGGGATTTGCTACCATGCATTTTCAAAAGATTTATATGGAAATCAAAAATGTGGACGTTTGTTGGCCCAACCGCACCATGCTGTATGTCCCAAAACCATGATCTAACGTGAAAACTAAAGAAATAATGTCTAGCATCCTCCCCTCCCCTCCAATCAAGAACAAATCAGATTCAAATTGATATACAGCCGTTATATGCAATTTCTAATTAACCTGACATATTTTTAGTATCCCCGTGCATGTGGCAGTAAATTCCAAACACATGAAAGTCTGAGTACGCCTGCTGGTCCCCTGTACTGGCCTCCAAGCTGTGCTGATTATGGGTTGAGTGTTGAGGGTTGTATAGCAATGTCAACTGAAATATGTAGGGTAGAAGTGAGCACTACGGACAACATCAATTGCGGACCAACATATAAGGATATGAAAGAAGGTATATTAATTATGATGAGCAGGGCAACACAGCTTATACGATACTTACCAAAGAACTGTTACTGATGTAATTTCTACGTTTCAAAAATATATGCAAATGCCACCATGTGGTCGTTTCTGATTTTTTCTGATAATAGACAAGAAAAAGGATGGTAAAAGGTACTCGTAACTGATACTGAATAAGAATATTGGTCTTATATAAGGTTGAACGCCGTGTATTTAAAGTGACAGAGACAAAGTTAATATGGCATATACTAAAGTGGGATAGAAACATATTTTACGTAAAGAGGTCATTGCAATCAATCTGAGGTTAATAACATAGAATATTTATTGAGTACATTCACACCCCTGAGGGTCAGGTACAAGAAAGTGCAGTACACAAAAAGAATATATATGATTTAACACTAGACTACTATATACTACATATAATATATGCTTACTACTGTAAAATATGTATTACTACAAAATGCTTTTTTGCGCAGCAGGAATTAGCCTTTCTAAATTAAGTATTGCTTTCTAAAATTCGGAAGGCATCACTAATATATTTTGCAACCTTGATGCAATCTTGATTTATACAAGTTAAGAGGTATATAAATTGATTTGTTTGTGCTTTTGCCGTATCAGACAATTCAGTTTGAAGTAATAATCTTTCATTTTGATATTTTTTACACTTCATCATAAAATGTTCTTCATCATCAATAATATTGCAATGGACACACAGTCTTTCTTCAATTGGGGTTTTCTTTGGTTTAGTATATCTCCCTTGCTCAATTTGGAGGTTGTGAGCACTTATTCTCAAACGTGTAAAGTTTCTTCGCATATCAAGTCTGTCGATTATATTTAAATAATGTTCATATTTAAAATCTTTCTTGAGGGTTCTGTAGGTTCGTAGTTTATTGCCGTTATCATTTTTCCTAGTGTCAGTGTTTAATTTATTCTTCCAGTACCTGTCAAATTTTAGTTTAAGTAATGATGTACATCTTAAGGTATCAATTGTAGAATCCACAGATTCAGAGCAATTTTCATTAATAGAGCAAATTATTTTGTTTACGTTTGAAACCCATGAGTTTTCTTCTAGTTCTTTGGAGCAGTCAAAAGCTGCCTTGATTAGAACATTTTTTGTATCTTTAATGTGATGTAAAAAGTTGAGAATTTGGCCAAATATACCTATAAATAGTGGATATCTTCCAAGTTCCCCATAAACAGCCATATTAGTGGCCTTTCTACCAACTCCAAGTAGGAATTTGGAAAAGGATATGTTTAATTTTTCTGAGGGGAATTTGTTTTGGTTTAAGTATGCTTCTTCTAGGTTTGAACTGGATACTTTGTTAAGACTGAAAGGGGCCCATATTTCAGCCCCATATAGACAAATTGGTTTTATCATTTGATCAAACAGTTTAAGCCCAAGCTGTGGTTTTATATCACTCTGTTGAAGGCATCTTTTAAGTTTAAAAATTGCCTTACTAGCTTTTTCATGTAGGTGTGTTTGAGCTGATATAAAGCTGCCTGATGCTCGAAATATCACACCAAGGTACTTGTATTCTTGTACACATTGAACTTGAAGTCTGCCATATGAGAAATAGTCAGTGCAGAGATGCCCGTTTTTTTGGAATCTAATTATCTTGGTCTTATTTATGTTGATATTAAGTTTCCACCTGTCACAATATTCTTTTAAGGAATCTAAAGATCTTTGTAATCCATGTTTAGAAGTCGAGAATAAAACAATATCATCAGCGTACATAAGCATGTTAATAATTTCTTTTCCAATAGATGGACAGTCATTTTTATAGCCAATAGTATCGGGTAAGTCATTTAGGAATAAATTGAAAAGACAGGGGGACAACGGATCACCTTGTTTTACACCAATATTTGCTACTTTGAATACAGTTCTCTTCCCGAGGTCATTGTTTTTGATGCAAAATTTATTATTATCATACATGTTTTCAATGATTTTTAATGTTTTACCACGAATTCCTGAGTTTAAAAGCTTGAATATTAGTCCCCTGTGCCAAATCGAGTCAAACGCTTTTTGAAAATCAATGAAACAAGCATAGAGATGCTCTTTAGAGTTGTTTGATAAGTGTTTATCGATTAACGTTCGAAACACAAACATGTGATCTGATGTACGCGCTTTTTCCTTGAAGCCAATTTGATACTTACTAGATATATTATTTTTGAGTAGAAATGATTTAATTCTATTATTAAGGATAGTGTTAAACACTTTACCTAAGCAATTATTGATGGTTATTCCTCTATAGTTACTCATATCTGAAGGTTTACCAGATTTTAGAATGGATGATATGTAACCTTCATTCCATGATTTTGGATATTTTCCGCAATTAAGAATCTTGTTAAAAATGCTATTTAAGAATTTCAAGGATTGATTAATACTGTGTTTCACCATTTCATTTGATATTCCATCTAATCCACAGGCTTTTTTATTTTTTAAATGTTTGACAGCACCTAGAATTTCATCATCATTTATGGTGTAATCAAGATCATTAAAAAAAGGTTCATTTTTTAGATTAGAGATTTTCTGTTCAATGTCATTATCTATTGTAGTTGCTGTGTTGAGCAGTGATTCGTAATAAAGTAATTGCTCGGATGAGGAGATATGATTTGTATTTGGTGCCTGACTTGTATTTGTTGACACTGATTTTAGTTGTTCAACTAATTTCCAATATTCTAAAGGGTCATTTTCACTCATAATATGTAACTGATTAATAATGTTATTTTTAACTTTTTTCTTTGACTGCTTACACTTCTTTTTAAATATTTTTTTAAGCTTGAAATAATTCAGCCTCTTTTCATTATTGTTATGATCGCGGGCTAACAAATTTCCTAGTTTATTCACCTCTTTCTTCATTTGACTACATGACTTATCGAACCATGGAGTGGTTCTTCTAATCAATCGTTTTTTTGACATGATTTTCCGTTTAATGAGACATTCATTTGCCGATAATCTATAAGCGTTAGTCAATAGTTCTGTTGCTTCATCGGTTTCTAATTCATTGATACTTTTTGAGTTGAATGCCTGGTTCAGATTATTCAGTAATGAATTTTTAAAGCTCTCTGTATTCTGTTTATACCACTTATATGTGCAAGGTAATTCTTTATGTATGACCTCTGTGTCATAATTGCAATGAGTAGTGCACAGAGTATTAAGCGATACTTTGATACTTAGGGATATTAGACAGTGGTTTGATATAGTCCCCATAAAATCATGAACTCTGAAATATCTAATTTTGTTTACTAAATCCTGCTGCACTAAAGCATAGTCAACTAAGCTACTACCATTCCACTGATGGCAAGTTAATGCCCCGGTAAGGTCGCCAAAAATTCTGCCATTAAGTATCCTGAGTTGGGTGCTTTTGCATAAGTTTAATAATTCTTTCCCAAAAGTGTTTACATGCTTATCTTGACTCAAACGTCTGATAATATTATCATTGTCGAGAAAATAGTTGTAATGACATGGTACATAGTTATCATCTTCATCCAAAATAAAATCTAGTTCCTCCCCTGTTCGTGAATTTAGATCTCCCAAAATGATGACATTTCCCAACTCAGAATATTTGATAATGTTCTTTTCTAGTTCAGCAAACCTGATAATATCTGTTCTTTGTGTTACTGATGAATCGATTGGTGTTATATAGGTAACACATAAATACAAATCATTTTCAAAACCAAAAAAGTCTCTTTTTAGTTGTAACCAAAGCGTGTCCCTGGTCTCTGAATAGTGAGGTATTACTCCTTTGCATAGGCCATTCTTCACATATATAATAACACCTCCTGAATTTCTTTTTGCCTTTTTAGTTTTTGGTCTATGAACTGGGTAAGAAATAAATCCATCTATTTCGAAATTGCTATTTTTATCGGTGTGGGTTTCAGACAACCCAATAATGTCTAAGTTGTTAATATAATTTAAAAAAGATGGATCATTTAGCTTGTTACCAATATTTTTGCTAATAATACCTTCAATATTCAGATGACCAATTTTAATGTCATGCTTCATTTCTAAGTTGTTAAGCAATAAGAAATGAATCAAATATAATAAATGATCACTGAAGTAAATCGAGAAAGGACTGTAGTACTGTTAATGTTCACATACACTATCATATAAAACACTGCACACATTGGCAGTCATATTAATTTTGATTTGAATAAAATCATATTTCTAGTATGTCGAAAATTCCTCGTTTGATGTTGGAAAAGAGCAAGCGCTCGCCTTCTTCCGAAAGGTGGCACTTGTCCCTGGAGTACAACCTTGGTATGATTGTGCCTCTTGATGCAAGGCTGTTGTTTTTAATTGTTATAATGTTGTTATAACCACTATATAACTGAGCCATTTTACGGCGTATAATGTTAATGTCATCATTCAGATCCCTGTAGTCCCCCCTATTTATGGGAAGCGATACAATAATTTTGGTTCTACAGAAAAGCTGGAGGGTATGCCTCACTAAGTTGTCGAACATTTCAACACAGACTTCAGGCTCATATTTTTTGACGTCGTTTGTTAGCAGCTGGAAAGCGATGCAACATAACATACTAACATTCTGCCATCTTTAAATGATTGGTATGATTCAGCAAAGTTTTAATTCCCATGTACTGTACATGTATCACATGTTGTCCCATTTACTTAATCCCTTTTTAATGACCATTTAATTATAGGTTCATCACTTCAGCAGGATGATCCAGATGTTGTTAGGAGGCATGGCTATTGCAGTAAGTTTTCAAGTCAGCGAATCAATTAAATTCAAAAGCTTTTTCATTTTTTCTGTATAAGCTGTACAATACACATTTTACAATTTAGAAATGAGGGTTGTCCCAGAAGGAATGCACTATATGCTCTGACTTTCTTAAATATTACTCAATTCAGCTGAAAATTTGTGTATATTGCAGTTGAAGCGTTTTTTTGTTTTTTTAACATATTATTTATTTTCTTCATAATCAAAAAATACACAAAATAACTACTACCAATCGCCATAGGCATTCTAGATAGTTTATAATAGCTGTCATATCCTGAAGATTCAGCATCATACGTTAATGTTACATCATAAAATGTTTGCTATGGCAACATGGGAGTAGGGAAGGGCGTGGCGGGTTCCCTCGTATGTCATCTCTGAACCCTTTAATAAACATAATTAAAAATGTATTTTATTGTTATAGTATTCAATGACCCACATTCGATGAATCCAATATACAAAAACGATACAAGATTATGTGCTCGACCTCAGTTTGCGAATGGAAACAAGTATAAACTATTTCATCGATACCCTGTTAGCCAGAGTAAGTTTGGTCGTTTTTTATTTCATTTATTCAGTTTTGTTTTTTTTATATTGAAATATTTTATAATAGTGTCACTGGTAAACAATTGTTACAAAATTGACTATTGCAAGTTTTTACCATTGACGCCTATATGACATTCTGGCCCAACCCGAAAACAAAAAAATAACAAGTGCTGACATCTATTTGTTCAGCTATACAGCAACTCCCTTATTGTAACGATCCAAACATAAACTGAATGTACATCCGACTCCCTGTTATACCATTCATTCTTGAGACAGCAAGAGAATTCCCCCACCCAGTCTCTCCCATTGGACTGAGTGCTTTTATTTCATAATTGAACCTTGCAATGCGCATGCGCAGTTTAAATCACTGTTTTTGCTTTTAGATGATTATGTTGAAGTCGATGGCTTGTTTGGCGGCAATGGTGGTCATTATCTAACGGATCTGTACGTAAACACTGCATTCAGTAATCTAGCTGTATCTGTCGATCTAAACGGTACACTCTCTGTCCAGGAAACGCTAAAGAACCCAATAGGAGCAGGTTTCCCAATAGTATGTATAGACAAGTTGTAATATGGCACATTTTCCAAAAACAATTTCTGGCAGCAATGATAACTTCAAAGCTAATAAAATGTTATGACTCAGTATGATGATTTTATATGGATTTGATATTTGGGATACATTATTAAAGTCAACGTAGATTCAAGTATATTTCAAGCGTTTCCTAAAAGATAAGTTTATCTGAACAAAGTACACTTTTTGAATTCTAACCGCGTTGTTCCTGTACACCTGTAGTCAGTACTTAAAGGCAGAATCAGATCTATTCCTTACAATATCAAATACAATATCTCCCAAAAGATTCACAATATGTTATAAATTGGAGAAGTTATAAATGATTCAAAGTGCAAAAATGGGTGAAAATTTTAAATTCTCCCAAATAATAAGAATGGTAACCATTCTTCTAGAAAAATAATACATTATTGTAAAAATCTTTAGTTTTCCTGAAATAAAATGTGTACTATAGGGATTTTTGGAAAATAGACATGAAAAGGAATGACACAAGCCAGAAATATTCTCAAATTGTAACAATTTTTTGTTTGGCTGCTCGCTATATCTGATTCTCTCTTTAAGTAACAGAACTGAGAGATGAACAAGACAAATTTGCGCGCATGCGCTATTGTTTCATTTGGTTGATTGAAACTCGAACCTCATTTCCAGGTCACCTATGAATATTCGCAAAATGGTAGCGTTGTGGTTGTCACTGTAGCTTTCGGAACCGATGCAGATGGTGGTAAAATAACTATAGCAATAAGGGGAGGTCGGCCCTACAAAATGAACGTATGCATTAATGATCCCTTGAATATGGCTGAAATTGGCTCTTTCGGCACTACATTGCTTGATGAAACAAGTTACTTTGGTAAGGGTTTTGTACTAAAACCAATTAAAGAATCTCTTATCTTGTTTTTAGCACAAATAGCATCCCTTTTGTTATGTTGACTCCAAAGCTTGTGATATTTCCCCACACAACACGATTTATTAAGATAAGACTGTCAACCTCTGAAATGTTGTTATTTTTGCGCACTTTTTGAGGTCACCTGACCATGACGTGCCATGTGCCAAGTTATTTTGGCGCTAAATCAAAAAGTTGTTGTTGCAAAATACTACGAAGGCTGAACCAAAGTGGAAATAAACATTAGTTTCACATTCGCACGCATTCCAATATTCCGTACTCAATTGCAAGTGATATTATACCCTTTTCAAAATTGATGAGAAAGCCATAGTTTCATTTTAATCTACAAAATCTGGCTTTCATACGGTAAGATAGCATTAGTATCTCTAAATCGAGTAAAATGCTTTGAGTACAACCTTAACTTATTCGAGTTATTTTCTCTTATTCATCATCAATTTACACTAAGGCATGAGGCAAAAGTCCGAGAAATATTTATTTAATTTACTAATTAATAACGTCTACCCCTTTTTGGTGACTCAAAGAAACTGGGGTATATTGGGTTAATTTATGACGTCATACTTCGCAAGCTGCTTTCGCATGATATTTTACGGAGAATTCTTGTTTATATCCCATTTCTGAATATTGAAACTAAACATGACATCAGGTGACCAGCATGTGTCAGGATTTTTTGGACTGGTCTGTTTGTACTTTGTGATTACAACGAAAATACAAATATACGATAAATATCATATTCGCTGTCAGCCTCTAAACTGCTGGTGGTTGTCGATACTAGTGCGATCGTATCAAAATTGAACTTCATCATAGAAAAACGTATAGAACTGCAGTTTTTGTTTTGTTTTAGGATATCTTGATTTCCTTGAGGCAAGCATAATCCCAAATCTCAATATAACTGGTGAGAACTTGCTACTGGACGTAAACGATGTTACGTATGACGTTGATACTCCAATGGCCTTTCATAAGTTCAGAGTACAGGAGTCTGTTAACATGTCATGCTGGCATGCATCAGACACAGCTCAGCTCGTGAATGTGGCAGATTTCTTGATTGTTTAGGTCTACATCTTGAAATGAAAAAACTTAGCTCTTACAACTTGGAACTCCATCTAAATATTGACTGTTTAATTTCGAGCCATTAAGTGCCATAAACACGTATCAATTCAAAATGCTAAAAAAGTGCCCTCCGCTTATTGGTGCAAATTTAGGGTCATGTGTTTACCGATATTGTCACGTGACCACAGAATTCCAACAATAAGGTAAAAAATTGATTTTCTACTTTTGATTGGACACTATTTTCAAATACAATATGTAGCTGCCATGGAGCCTATTTAGGGAAAACTCGGACAGAAAAATGCGAATGAAAATGGACATCGAGAATATAAAATTGAATAGCATTGTATCAGGGTATATGTACCGTCGTTTCCGAAGGTACACGATGAAGGTATGCGGCAATAAGATGATCATGGCCATTGTTAATTTTCCTGAGTTTAAACTCTCCTTCTCCCACTACTGATCTGATGTTTATTTAAGTTGGTTCATCGTCCTATTATTTTACATTGCCTCAATAAAAGATATGTCTATATATGTATAACTCAATTGATTACATATTGCAGCCATTAAGTGGCTATTAAAATGTCATATTGCCGCATATAACCTGACACAATGCATTATTTTCATCATAAGTAATAATATTTGATAAAAAAATCAAAATCAACAAAACGTTGAATGTAAAGACTAGCGAGTAAACATGTTCTTCGATGTTCTAGATTATGAAATAGGAAATCTTATTCTGGAATATTCAAAGTCGATTATTGTAGTCTGAAATATTTAGAGATTGTTTGATTGAATAAAGGTAGTTATAGAATGCAGCAAATATAATTGTTTTAGTTGTATTCTGTCTTTCTTCTCTTCATTCTGCAAGGAGGATTTGCTCCCAGAATGCAATCTCGATATGTTCAAACATTGATGTCAGAATGTCGTTATTGTCTGACATTAAACTGGTTAAAAATGTGTAATCAGAATGAGTGATGATGGACAAGAAAAAGATGTCCAACGACGAGTTAATATCTTGATCACTTCTTGTATGTTCTGATTTTTTGTTATGCAATGAGAACAAAGCCCGTGATTCAAAATTTGAAGTGAAAATCACCACATCCTTAATAAAGATCGGAATCGGGGAAAGAAAATATCGAGAATGCATTCTGGGAGCCATTCCTCCTGTTATATTATATAGGGCGAGATTCTTCCTATCAATGTACGTTTGAAGACCACTATGAGAAGTAAAAAATCTCCAGATCTCACAGAAGTTGATCATGGTTCGTAACATTAGCATGCAAATGTTGTTACAGACGCCGACCACCGAACACCGTCCACAAAAATTTGGAGACTATTACAATACAGGATGTTCCAAAAGTAACAGGACTGGTGCTGGCATTTTGATAAATACGCACCAATCATCTACAACATTTTACAGAATGTACTTTTATGTATCATTACTAAGACTGCAAAGTTTCGACAAAATATATGAAACTCAGGTAGAGTTATGGTAGCTATAGTAACATGACATCACAATACCCGGGGCAACATTCCACGCAAAAAGTTACAGAGACATTAAGCATTTTGTACATGCCATATCATTTTTGTACATGCCATATCAAAGTTGAAATGCAACAACTGGTGGGAATTACATTTGTTTTACATCATTTGATATTCTTATGTATCCTCTACTTTGATAATAGGCTCCTCTTTGGTCAGTACAAGAGTAGTACTCTGTATCCATGACCCAAATGAGTAAACCCATTTGAGGACATGTAACGCAGGGTCGATTGGACAACTTGGAGAAGATCATGCTCATCTTTAAAGGTCTTAAAGCACTGATTAGCATTCCGTTCTCAATATAAGTAAAAATTAGATTTTGCATGATCAGAGGACTATGGTGCATGGTTTTAGACCTCAAGACCTAGCTCCTCTATAGCCGCATGGTCTTTAATGGTGACCTGCAGGCAGGGCGCTATCAAGGTAGATGACTGGCTTCAATAGGGTCTTTTCAAAACCTCAACAGTGAATTGTTCAGACTGTTATACATAGTGATATTCCAGGAAATTGAACAAATATTATTATCAATATGAAATTATACTTGAATCCGAGTTGTATGGCAACACCTTTACAACAAAGGAACTAATAAAATAAACAAGAAATGTATTATAATAGGTGAATTAGATACTTTCTTCAGTAATACAAAAATGTATCACATTTTCAGGAAAAAAGTTGCCCCGGGTATTGAAATGTCATGTTACTATAGTAACCATAACTCTAATCGCATTTCATCATTTTTTCTGAAACTTTACAATTTTAGTTGCAATACTTCAAAGTACAATTTGTGAAAATTTGAAGATACTCAGTGCAAAATTGACAAAATGCCAGCACCAGTCCTGTTACTTTTGGAACACCCTGTATATCAGCACTTATAGTGGTGACATAAAAATGGCGTCGACGAAGACAGAAATAAAAATACAAATACATATAGGGTATTATATTGGCCACCCCAATCCCCCATAGAATGCGTGTTTTATATTTATACGTAGCTTCTAAAACTGTAAGAAAAATTTAGGAAAAAATTGGAATAACCTCGATCATGTAATAAATGAATTTTAAAATATGGAGGTTATTAGTTATACGTTTTAGAAACCATATACGCGAGCGTGTAATATTTCGAACCCTGGGGATTACTGTTCCGCTCTCAATTCGTCACTTTCCTGGGACCAAATTAATTATTTTCCGTATATCTTTATACTCAATCGGCCGAGTAAACAGTACAAATTGGGGGAACAGAGATCCATAGATGGCCACAATTCTAATCGTTCACGTATGAGTTTGAAAAAACGTGTAACTTAACCACCATAATAGGGAGTTTAAGCTTGCATATAAAATCGAAACCCCAACCTATACGTATGACCATTCACCCATATAAATGCATCGCTTGGATATTTTCTGTTCACGTTTAGGTTGTTAAAAACATTGCAAGCTTAAACTCCCTAATATTATGATTTTATCACGTTAATTTATTCCAATCCTAAATTGTCCCAAATCCATATTCTGATAGAACACAATGACAAAGTATAAATCGTACATCGAATAAAACACCCTTGCGTATTAAAAGTTCCATCTAGTAATTACTTCCCAATAAAATGCCTATAGACCATATACTCAGTATGTAATATATTCTACAAGTAATACATTATCGTTGATTTATTAACCTTTTAGCTTTCGTTTATAAACGGCTACTTTTACTGTAGTTGAGCGAACGAAAACCTAAAAGCACGCTTCTTAACAAAAATAAATGATGAAGTTTGTTTTAAAGCATCTTCGCTGCAAGGGTATTTATATACATACATACTGAATTAAAGCATAAATGAAGTCCTTTGAAGAAGCAGTCCTATAGTTCCAATATACCATTTTAAAGATAAGACTGTCAGCTTTGGAGATCAGGCTTCCTAACCAAATGGAGGTTCACTGGATAAAACGTTGTCCAATTTATCATATAATTAATTGAGAGTTACTTGGTGAATTACAATTATGATTCGATTTTAGAAAAACAAGTCAACAAGTTAATACGTTTGGTACTCGAGTGAGTCAATATTCAATTGAGCAAATCCTTTTTTAATTTTGCCACGAAAGAGCTGTTTCGCTTTTGGACAAACATTTCAAAAATTCCTCCTGTTCATAAGCCCGAAAATCAACTTTGTAACAAAAAATAGCATCGTTCTTTTGATCCTCATTTGCTCAAATATTTACTGTACAGGGTTATACTAATGTCTCAATAGTATATACGCCATATCTATCATTTTAAAGCTTGTCCAAAGTTACATTGATTTGTCAAATATCATGGTTCAACTTACAAATGAGAAAAAGTCAAATCTTAGTGTTTGGCCAGAATTGAAGTTCGGCAGATACTCCAAGGCAACTCTTCTAAAATACCTTAAAAAGGTTTCATGAGGATTACAAAATGCCACGGCCCTATTTCAAGTGCATTTAAAAAATAATTGATGATGTTAACATGGCTTAGGAAGACAGATTGACTATTAATTTGGTATAAAACTGAACTTTTATTTTGGCCACCAAACACTAAATTTTGAAACGCCTCTAACTTCAACTTGAACCATGATAATTGGCAAATCAATGCACCATTGGATAAGCATTAAAATGATATATGACACATAATATGGAGACATTGGTATATATATATGTCTGCCTAGGGGGGGGGGGGGGGGGCAGACTTCCCGGGCCATACTTTCCGGAACCCCTGTATTATCTCACTCTAGTCAATTACACGGCCGAAGACTTGTTTAATTTTATCACCCTATTGAGTATATCTTGAATATTAGCTAAAAACAGTCGAATCGGTAATGTAATTGCAATAGCATAAGATCGGTAGAATATAGCCATATCGCATGGCCTATTGTTGTAGATTACTAAACAATTATTCAAATGGTCCCATAAAATTCAGAGATTATAAAGGCCGAATTAAAGGGGGAAACCATTGATCTTGGGGAATATAATCCAGGGTTAACCAAGGAGGATGGGTCCCAGAATCGCAACTCAATATTTTCTAACAATGAAAACGTCAAAAAGTCGTTATTTTCTGAAATTATAACCGTCCATAAATTCAGAATAAACAATCCAAAAGATTAGAACCAATATCTTGATCAATGCGAGTAAAAATAATTTTGATTATAAGTCGCATTGAAAATTCCAAATTCAGTAAAAGTGATATCATATTTAAAATCTATATTATGACGTGCACGGACCTGGGGACAATTCGGGAAATACGGGGTAATCTCAGCTTTAAGCGTTAATATCTGCCTTATTTAAAAAGCTAACTATGTGCATTGATATCATTTTGAAGTAATTTTTATTCGCATTTCACTGAAATTATTTTTCCATGGAAAGTGTGATAGGATCTACCATAATTTTGAAGTTAAATGTACTCCGACATCGTCAAATACGCTGTAAGACGTAACATTTCACGCTTGCACGGTTCGTTGAAATCGGGATAACTTTTGTAATACTGATCAGAATTTTACTAAAATTTCACATTTTATTCATTGAAACATGTGCTTTTATGACGTCACAATTGCCTAGTGGCTACAGTTCAAATCGTCTTATATGAACGCTTTTAAGATTTTCAAAATTGTGTAAGGTTTTGAAGGCGAGGGAGACAAGCAATAAGTTTACCTTTATTTAACCTTCTAATTTAGGTCTGATTTCAAAAAAAATTTAACTGCACAATATTGTCATGGCGAAATTTACAAAACAAGAACCGATTTCTTTATTTTTCAAATAATAAGAGAATAAGAGTTGCTTTTAGAGACTTGAAAAAATGTAACGCATCGATTTTTTACCACAAATCCCATACACATCAATTTTTACTAACGCCCCGAGTGGACTTCCTGACCGTTTTTCAAAAATCAAAAACATTTTAGAAATATTGTCCTCGAGATCTTGTTACTCTGTTAATTTTACCAGGATTGAATAAGAATAAAGCATCTTATTTTTATGTTGACTAAACTTGACAAAATGTAACGCTTGTCGTTTTTGACGTTATAATGCTGATTGCGCCCTATACTGCCCATTGTATTGTTTTGGTATTTTGACGCCATAATGTTACTCTAATTGTCCCCAGTTTCGTGCGACGTGTAATATGTAATATTACATCTAGAAATGTGGTTTTAAAAAGTGTTTATCAACTTTGAAAATCTAATATTATTTTAAAATGTGACTTCTAGGTCGGGAGGATTCCCCATAGACCCCATGTTATAAAATCACAAAAAGTACATGAGACAGATAATGTTTTCTTTTCCTGGACATTTTTCA